ATAGAGGCTAGCTGACAGGACTTGATTTACATGTATCTCTTCTTCTAGATGTCAAAGCCATTCATTTATTTATGCTTGATATTTGCAGCCAGTTTCATACAGTTGACATTTAAAAAAGCACACACTCCAACAAGGAAGTTTGTTGCTTGTTGTGTGAGCTGCATGCCAAAACAGAACATCCCATTGGTCAACTTTTTGGATTTCATAGCCAACTTCCAACTCATAAGATCCCTGGCCTCAGCTAATCCTTATTTGGGGATTTTGTTATTGTTGATCATCAGTGAACTGAAGGTCAGTCGGTTTTCATCTCCTCCTGTACTTGCATTTTACAACATTGTACTTGCATTGCTAGACAATTTCCTTAAAAAGAAAGTTTAATTTAGTTGGAGGAAGTGAAGTCTGACCCTGGTTGTGCAAAGAAGAAAAGGCATGTGAATGATTTTCAGCAAGAGGAAAGCTGAGCTGCTTGTGATATACAACACTTTGAAATAATAATAATAATAATAATAATAATAATAATAATAAAAGTTTTACTTGTTGTAGATGCACCCAGTGATGCTTATTGTGTTGGAAACAATTAAAAGGCAAGTCTTAGCCCAAGTGGGATGTGCTGTGTGTGTAAGTAAATCTAAATCATAATGCAGACATTAAGGTTTAATCTGTAGCAGGTTGTAGAGTTGTGCGTTCCTTCTTGCAAATTTGTTCTACTTTACCTTCACATCATGTCTGACATTTCTTAAACCTGCTGAAAATGAAGGAGACTTCCAAACCCCTTTTCAAAACTGACTTTTTAAAACATAGTACAGTAAAGCCATGAAATATAACAAAAATATGGAGAAATGGTTTGGAAAAGCTTTTTTTGTAGTTATTGGGTTGAACACCTGACTCCTTGCTATTAAGTTTAAGCTTGTTTACTTATAAAACTTCACCACAATGCACACAAAGGCACACACTTTTAAATACTATTGATTTTATGAGAGAGTTAAGTGTGTATTTAACTTTCTCAGACTGAAAAACCAATAGAACTGAAAACTCCCTTACTGTGGGTGGATCATGCCCTTGAATTTGTTCAAAATAAACCAAGCAGGAATAGGCAGGTAGCAAAAATAAACCTTGCAAAATTGATGTGGTTCTTCAACTATATTCCTTCCGTACCTTTTCTGGGCATTTGGTCATGCAATAGTTCCATTCATCTGTTCCTGTGGAAACTATGAAACTTTCACATTGGGTCAGAAAATAGCTTCTTTGAAGTTACGGGAGGATTCTGATTTTCTTCTCCTCAGGAGCCCTGAATAGAAATGTATTCTGCCCCACCTCCCCAATGCTGTGGCTTGGTTCCTTTTAGATTTAAAATAAATACAGAGGAATGATTTGCTTTTAGTTCACACAAAAATTCAAGAATTTATTTTGCTCACCCTATTCCTAAAGCTCAGATAAACCAACACTGTGTGAACTCAACCTCTATATTTTTAAAACTCTGTTTAGGTGTAATGTCTGCTCATATTTTTATACATACTCATATTTAAATATAAACGAAATGTACCAAACATAAATATGTACTAGGAATATAACTGCAGTCATTAAAATGAATGTTTCACATAAGCCAAGGGGAACCTGTGGCCCTCCAAATGTTGTTGAACTACAACTTCCATCATCCCTGACCACTGTTTTCCTCTTGTCCTTCATCATGTCTGGAAGAAGTACAGAAGCAAAGGCTGATCTAGGGGAACACAACCAGTTTGGTCAAATCAGACACAGAGCTTCTGGGGTGCTGCAGTGAGTGCTGCAACTATGACGTCCAATGGACTGTGAGAGGCAGGGGGCAATGGATTTTGGCGTTGCACAGGACACCACTGAAATTTGAGATGCCAAGGTCCACCACTGACAAATGTCTTGAGTTTAGAGAGTGGAGGCCTCCATGATTCTTGCATCTGGAACCTTTCTAGAGCATGGTTTTGGTGCAGTTGCACTGACTTGAGTAATGATATAAAGGACTGGAAGCCAGCAAGGAGGTCAGCTTAGCCATTGCCCACCCTCCCTGCCCCTCTTTTTCTCTTTGCTCCTTACCTAGAAGCTGTGTAACAGATTAGACGAGATAAAGAGGTTTTCTAAGGTGCTTGCTACAGAATGACATCATGTTTCTTACTATTCTTGGGATAAGTTTGACTTGAGGACTGCAGGTTAAAATGTCATATGTGGTGACCACGGAATTACAACTTTGTTTTCATATTATTATTATTATTATTATTATTATTATTATTATTACCTTAAATCAGGTTCACAGCATCCATTTGGAATCAAGGCCAGAAAAGTGGCAGACCTGAGGCATCTGTGCCAGGAAAACATGCAGACTTTTCCTGCTCCTCACCTTCCATCCTAAGCCAGTGCAAGCAGCAGGGATCTGGATGTGGCAGCAGATCAGCCATTCTGCCAAGCCTTGCCCCTCCCTACCAAGTATTACGATTGCACCCTCAAAGTCATTTGTGAGGAAGTGATGCCAGACAGGCAAATAGTTCCACCTTTTGACTACACTGGGGGATTTCTGTACAGTGCATAGTTAAACCCAGGCACTTGGTCCCACTGGAGGCAGTCAATGACACCAACGTGGATGGATTTGAAAGAGGATTGGGCAAATTCATGGAGGATAGGCCTATCAATCGCTACTTGTCATGATGGCTATGCTCTGCCACTGTGGTCTGAGGCAGTAATAATAATAATTTTTTATTTATATCCTGCCCTCCCCGGCCAGGGCGGCTAACACCAAATATGAATTACAATAAAATGTAATAGGAAAACAAACAAACAAACAAACATAAACAATTAAAATACGGCTTAAAACACAGCTTAAAATGCAGCCTCATTTTAGTAGTAGCCCATAAATCAATACCATAAAGGGAGGAAACATCAGATATTCACCCGAGCCAGCTACCCATGCTGGTCCTACATGGGCCAGCAAAAAAGCCAAGGGAAAATTTATATACCAAATCCCATATAAGGGGTCAGAGTGAGTCTAAGCCAGGTGGAACAGCTCCGTCTTGTAGGCCCTGTAGAGAGATGTCAAATCCCGCAGGGCCCTAGTCTCTTGTGACAGAGCTGAAAAGGCCCTGGCCCTAGTTGAAGCTCCTTGAAGCTTGGGACCTCCAAAGTGTTGCTATTTATGGACCTTAAGGTCCTCCGTGGGGCATACCAGGAGAGGCAGTCCCATAAGTATGAGGGTTCTAGTCCGCATAGGGCTTTAAAGGTCCAAACCAGCACCTTAAACCTGACCCTGTACTCTACCAGAGTAATGCTTCTGAATTCCAGTAATGCTGGAAACCACAGGAGAGGAGAGTATTCTTGTCCTTGAGTCCTTCTTGACGGTTCCCCTCAGGAATCTGAGTGGTCACTGTGAGTACAGGATGTTGGCTTGGATAGGCTACTGACATTATTATTATTTATTAAATTTGTTCACCACCCTTCATCCGAACATAACAGGATGGTTTACAGCATAAAAATACAAAATGAGAACACAAAATACATGATAAAACAAAGCAAAACCAATAAACCCTCCTCTCACAAACACATTTAAAATGCCATAGAATGTTAATCAGCCAAAGGCCTGGTTATAGACAAACATTTTCACATGGAACCCAAGGTACCTAAGCTGATCCAGCAAGTTCTTATGTTCTAATGTATTTTTCTTGAGCAAAACAAAATAACACCTGTGGAACATAATATATTGGAGCCCTGCCTGGAATGGTGATTGGCAATGGTGACTGAGTCCCTGTCAGGGAAAAAGGTAGGGAATAAATTATTAAATGATAATACTGACTAAATGGCTGTTTGGTGACTATGCAGACCATCACAGCCCACAGGGCTCTGAACTTTGGAACCATTATTGTAAAAAGAAATATATTTTGAATGACTAAATGCAGAAGCAAAAGTATACATCATAAATCACTCGTACTGGGTGGGGGGATGTAAATAAAATTGTTCATTTTAATTTGGGAGCTCCAACGGTTAATCATTAGGGCCTGCCCAAGCAGTCTGAAGCACTTTGCTTGGAGTTCAGTAGAGATTGTTTTAATAAATACAGTTCTTTTACGGTAACTCCGCTAGGTGGGCCACCACAGGGTGCTGCCCTACCCCAACAGATCACAGTGTAATGCCAAAAATAACCTCATGAAAACAAAGATCACTTTCACGATCACACAGAGATGTTTGAGTTTCATAACTTGCAGCATAAATCTTATTAAAAGAGGCCAGTCATTTGGTAGAGTTCACATTTAAAGGAATCTGGCCAGAGCTGAGAATCCACTAAACCAGCACTCTTTTGCAGTCTGTAAACTAGGAAATGGTAAACTAGGAATAACCAAGCTGCCCTGAAAAGTAGGTTAGGTTTCTTCTTACTGTAGTTTTCAGCAAGCTAGACTATTGCATCTTTTCCACAGTGGTGGTTGCTGATGTGGGGGATGCAAGACAAATAGCTTTTCTGAAAAGTAAAACATTTGTTAAGATGTAAAACATTTGTCAGGATACGGGTGGCGCTGTGGGTTAAACCACAGAGCCTAGGACTTGCCAATCAGAAGCCTAGACTTGCCGATCCAAAGGTCAGCGGTTCGAATCCCCACAATGGGGTGAGCTCCCGTTGCTCAGTCCCTGCTCCTGCCAACCTAGCAGTTTGAAAGCACGTCAAAGTGCAAGTAGATAAATAGGTACCGCTCCAGCGGGAAGGTAAACGGCGTTTCTGTGCGCTCCTCTGGTTCGCCAGAAGTGGCTTAGTCATGCTGGCCACATGACCCGGAAGCTGTATGCCGGCTCCCTTGGCCAAGAAAGCGAGATGAGCGCCGCAACCCCAGAGTCGGTCACGACTGGACCTAATGGTCAGGGGTCCCTTTACCTTTACTAAAACATTTGTCAATTTACTGAACACACTCCAAAATGTGATAAAAGCTATCATACTCTGCTTATAAAACAGAAACCAAACACTGCACATTTTTAAAAGCAGACACACCAAAAACTTTTATTAATTTAAAGACTTCTTTATTTTCCATAAAACTTAGAAAATATGTGCATTTTAGCACCTCAGGTTTCATGCTTCAACATTCTTTTTTTTTTTTCAAGTGTAACCTTTAAATTACAAACAGTAGGCACAGCAGGAATAATTTTAAACTGATCCCTTAAAAAACAAAGGCAAGTCAAAACCCTGCACGTTTTATAAAAGAGCAACTTCAACTTCTTGATCTCCTGATACAAAATTCAAGTAGTATTAAATAAGAGTAGACAAATTTGGTTTCCCAAGACATTTTGGTATTAGAAAGTTTGCAAAAAAGAGAGCTTGGATTTCCAGCACTGAACTGATGCAAAAAAAAAAAAAAAAAGTTGCAGAATAGTTCCCAGCCTGATCAAAGGACACTTGGTAAGAAGAAAAGATTTCCAAGTTGAGGATTTCTTCTTTTAAAGGCTTTTTAAAAAAAGTACCCATATGTGTATTTTTGCCAATGCTTTGCATTTATCTATCATGCACTTCTTTCTTAGAAGAATATTCATAGATAGCTGGATATGCAAATATTTCTTTCTTTAATCAAGATATGTACAAAAGACATATTCATAATGTTATTGTAATGGATGGAAAACCCATGTGAAAAGTTTTATGGATCATCGGCATCAATGATTTTCCCCTTTCCTTTTAGACTCCCTTTTCACAAGGGAGCGAAATTATAATTATTTAACTTTGCAACTCAAGGCTCAGATCAGATGCTTGAAGGTTTATATTGTTTTTTAAGAGTTTGGGTTTCTTTTCCTGCTCATTCTTTTAGCCCAAAGCGAAGCAGCAATCTAGAAGAAGTTTCTTTTGTCACCATCTTCTGGGAGTAGAACTATAAATAAGAGTTTGTCATAGATTGCCAAACGTTGTCTGTAACAGGCCAGGGAAATAAGATTAAGGGTCAATAAATGATACTGCGATGTATCTTGTTCCTTTCAAAATGGGAAGTCCTTCATGTAAATGCGTAAGTCTTCCTGGATGCATGAAACTCCATCCTTTCCTGGGTGATTCTATGGAGCAGTTGTACCTCAGAAATTTGCATCCACCTCCCTATAAAAAATCAGAAACAAAAGTCTTTAAATCACCATCTGGCAAGAAATCAATAGGAACTGGGAGGGTTTTTTGGTATAAAGCCCAAGACAATAATCAGAAGTGCAATCAATCCCAAGTGCATTAATTTGCACCAGGAATACACTGCATTTGAACAATAACACACCTTAACATTTCCCCATTCTAATTCATATGTAGGTCAACATCATTGTGGAAATTGCATGATAGATGATACTGGCCCTGTTTGCATCAAATACTAAGTCAAACCATGCCTTAACATGTGTGTTCCGGGAGCAAAGGTTGCAGCTACTACTACTCACCTGATCCTGCAGTTGTTCCACCCAGGCATAAGCCATGGTTTGGCTTAGTGTTGTATTCAAACCTGGGTGTGTAGTTTATCTACCCCAGAAAACCCACAAGCAGTTAACCAAGAACAAACTTTGGTTACAACTCATGGTTTGCCCGGAGTGAAACAAATCATGAGCCTGGCTTTGGATGTAGCACTAACACAAACTATGACTTAGCGCTGGATAGCACAGCAGCAGCAGCTGTGATCTGCATGCCAAGAATCAACACATGTGCTTGTTTCTGCTAAGCCAGGCTTCCTCAGCCTTGGCCCTCCAGATGTTTTTGGCATACAACTCCCATGATCCCTAGTTAGCAGGACCAGTGGTCAGGGATGATGGGAATTGTAGTCTCAAAACATCTGGAGGGCTGAGGCTGAGGAAGCCTGTACGAAACCATTGTTTGGTTTAGCGTTACATGCCAACCAGGTCAATAGCTTTTCTAGTCTAGGCATCAGTAGTGGGAGGTCGCTAGGCCTACTCCATCCCTTCAAATGCTGTATCTGAAATCAGGTAACAACCTAGAGGAAAAAGAGGGTGGTTTCCGAGGCAACAGGTCTTACCACTTGGAGAGACAAGGGAACTTTGCCTCTATTACTTAAACCATCCTGTGCAAAACTGAGGGATGTGGTATCTACTTTGTTTTTACTGCTGCCATGTGCCAGCTACTGCAAATCATTCTGCAATCTACCTTCTGCTGGCCACTGTCTTAAACTATTTGTAACATGATCCTTCAAGAAAGCAATTTTTTGGTGAGGGAGCTGCTCCATCTCCTTCTCCAACAAGACACTCCTCACAGGGAACTCTTTCACCAGCCATACAAAATATTCGTATCACTGATTTCAACACTGAATACAGCTGTCTGCTTAAACTGCCGTATCACCACAGCTTGATGCAATTATACTGTCACTGCAAGAAACGCTGTTCTAATACTTTAAAAGAACCAAGAATTATCATTGTGGTGTCATTTTCTTATTTGGGACTTCTAAGCAAGCTTAGTGGGAAATGAGTCAGAGAAGTTGAAAGCCATTGCTGGAATAAAGAGATTTGCTCCAAACGTACTTCAAAATCTCTTCCCACTTTGTTGAGAGCTATGTTGATAGTAAATGTTGAGGAGTCGTGATGAGGTCTGAGGGAACGTTGTCTCTCAGTAGTGTATTTCACAACAAAATTCAGCAAGGCATGGCCCTATAAAGAAATAACAGGACAGTTAAGAAAGGATAGCTCATGGGAATCCCTCAAGCCTACTCCCTGTGATGATAAATATCTGTGATTTACTGTCATGGATCTCCTCCCACCCACTGTTTATAATAACTCCTTCACTTCCAGATGTCCTCAACTTTTGTCTCTCTCTTCCTTTTTTAAAGATTCTGAGCCTGCAGACACAGAGTTCACCTAGCACATACTTCATAGGAAACTATTGATAAATGGAATAAATAATATTTAGCGTCTAATGTTGGCTCCTGTGCATGAGAACATAAGAAGAGCCTACTGGATCAGGCCAACAGCTCATCTTAGTCCAGCATCCTTTTTTCACAGCCGCCAACCTGATGTCTGTGGGAAACCTGGACACAGGACTCAAGCAAAAGAGTACTTTCCTCTCCCGTGCTTTTCAGAAATTAAATAATTTGCATGGTACAGAAGCTGAAGTAGGGATAGTAAAGGTAAAGGGACCCCTGATCATTAGGTCCAGTCGTGACCGACTCTGTGGTTGCGGCGCTCATCTCGCTTTATTGGCCGAGGGAGCCGGTGTAAAGCTTCCAAGTCATGTGGCCAGCATGACTACGCCGCTTCTGACGAACCAGAGCAGCGCATGGAAACGCCGTTTACCTTCCCGCTGGAGCGGTACCTATTTATCTACTTGCACTTTGAGGTACTTTCAAACTGCTAGGTTGGCAGGAGCAGGGACCGAGCAATGGGAGCTCACCCCGTTGCGGGGATTCGAACCGCCGACCTTCTGATTGGCAAGTCCTAGGCTCTGTGGTTTAACCCACAGTGCCACCCGCATCCCGGAAGTAGGGATAGGAGAGGCATGAATAGCTCTCCTAGTCTCTGCAATGCCCCCTCCTGTTGCTTGCATGTTCTTGGTGCATCCACATTGGCAGAAGGACCTGTGGGGTGGACATACTGGGTCTGTCGTGACTACTCTGTGTTTGGGTACTGCACCTGTGCTTGAGCCTTTAAGTCTTACTTTTTAATAACCATTTTAACCTACCTTTGTATAGTAGCCGGCAAACACTTTTAGTGTTACAGGCGCTATGTATTCTCTGATGAAATGTAGCCACACGCTTTCCAGCCCAATTTGTTTCATGTGAATGTCATCAGTTGGAACGTTTTCATATCCTCCAGAAATGCGGCTGTCCTAAAACAAGACATCACAGAGATGTTCAGATACATAGGGCATAAGGTTATGTTTTCAAATCATATGGGACACTTTGTAAAGTAGCACATGCCTGTCTAATTCTAAAGCTTTCATACTCCGGTACCTTGAGACACATCCCAGTGAAAAAATATACTCGTCGTATGGCTTATTTTATGGGACCAAAATGGCAATCTCTTCTTCCATCAAATGTATTGTGTAAGGAATTGGTACAACAATACATTGTTTTGCTCACCAGATAATTCAGTAGTGGCTGAAAACATCAACAGATGTTTCATTAAAAAAAACAGCACTTGAAACTATCAGCTGATTATTAAAACCATCTTAGATTAATGAAAAGGAGCTTTTTGATATACAGAAAGTGTAAACTGCCTTACAATGTTGAAGAAAATAGTAAATATGGCCTTTCTTTTATCATTTGTTATAGTAACATAACTGGACCCACCCTGGGACCTCATGCTGAAGAGTAAATAAGAAACCTAATAAATAAAAAAATCACAATCTAACCCTTTATCAAATTTACAAATTCAAAATGTCATATGGATTTGGATCTAAAACTAATTGTGCACTTTGAGGTAGATCTATTATGAATGGACTTGTAACAAAAATAACACTGTATCTCCATTATTTCTATAATACTGTCACCATTGCATTGTATTTGGTATTTTTTTCCATAAATGAAAATAGTGACATAAAAGCCAAAGTGTTTTCTTTATAAGGTGGCCCAAAACTCTTAATATCACTGATTAAAATGAGCCCTGAGCTTCATTTGCCAATCTAAAATTAAATTTTGCAGTCCTGATGGAAACATTGGGCACAATCCTGCCCCAATGAACTCCCCCTTGGATGAGTGTATGTGTGCACCTGCAATGACAGTCCCATAGGTGCCTCCCACAGGGGACATCTGCATGTGCATTGTGCTCACCTTTTGTCAGCAGCACATACTTTACTTTCAAAAAACCCATATAAAAAATAAATTAAAAGAAGTTTCCAACTATTATGCTTACATGGTGTTTTCCACCTGACCAACGTCCATAATGTTCCATCTCCTCGACCAGTTCATCACAGGCTATCTCAGAAAATATGGGGAACCAAAACACATCCGGGCATGGCTACAGGTGGGAAACATAAACCTGTGTGTTAGAATTTTGTGCTCCTTTGTGTGCCAGATAAGGCTGTTGCGTAGCTTATGCTTTACATCTCTGAATCTAAGGTGGAGGAGGACTGCAGGAATCCTTGGTCCATCACTACAGCAACTAGTCTGACCCCTTTGATTTTGTTTAGTTTCTTAAATGTCATTTCTTGTCCTTTAGCTTGTGGAAACAAGAGTTATGCAGCAGTTGCTCTGCATCATGCACTTGGCCAACTACGTAAGAGAAAACACAGAGAAATCTCTAATTATCTGAAAGGAGAAACCATTTCAGTGGCTGCTTGGGTCAGTCACTGTAGAGCAGTTTCCTCTCATGTGCCCACAAATAGCCACAGCAGAAGGTTACATTTGTACTGATCTACCCAGTGTTCCCATATTTGAGGAAAGGAACGTTTTCGGCTGTGGTAATTTGGTTTCCCCTAGCAGGACTGGCACTACAATGTAGTGAAGAACAGCTGCCCAGGCTTCCAGCAACTCCATTCCTCCAAGCTTATGGGACTCTTGATGCTAACCTGCTGATTCTTCCCACATGCACATGAGAGAGAGAGAGCACAAATTAGCATGGCATGGAAAGCCAAGTCTGTTGAAGAAGAAATGGTTTTTAAGTGTCAAAGCAGAGAAGTATTGGGCCACCCCAACCCCAGGTGGTTTCCATTATTAGTGGTGCTGCTGCCAAGTTTAAGGTGGGTGTGGGAGTTACAGAAACACATGCAGAGCCCATAAATAATTAGCTCACTCCAATCCAAGTTAAAACCCATTTGTATTTTAGTTCAGCTCATAAATGAAGTTCAGTCCCTTTGTGAGTCCCCAAATAGCGGTTTTCCTTACCTGTTCTACTATGTGCTCAGTGAAAATTTTTGAATAGTTGGGGTTTATGTAGGTTTCCTTCCAATCCTGAGAACAAAGATTTGTTTGTTAGATTAAAGAGAGAGAGAGAGAATAACCCACACAGAAGTGCTTAGAATGTAGGGTTTCAGCAAAGGATAGTCCTACTCAAAGCAGACTCACTAAAATTGATGAACATGACAAACTTTGTTCCATTTCAGTGGGTTGGGTCTGAGTAGGGCTTAGCTGGATACAACCCATAGGATTTTTTTTCAAATTAAGCAGTGAAGGTTAATGTTGAAAAATTAAATGGATTAAGATCCCCATGTAAGAAAGCATTTTGTGATTTGTTTGCTCACAAAAGAAAGAGGTTATTCCGGGGGGGGGGGGGGTTAAAAGAGAGGAAAATAATTATATTGCATTCTTTGATACATACCACTGGATTTTCAAAGATCTGCCAAAGATCATTGTTGTAGTGAGATATATTGTAGTTGGCGGTTGATAGAAGTCTTCCAAATTCATGTCTGTTTGTGATGTACATAAAGACACCCTACCACCAGACAAAAAACATCCTTATGTTAGTTTACATTTAATATTTAAAAGAAAGAAGAAACTATATTATCCAGTCTATATTAATACCCCTCGCCCAAACTCACTATCATCCCCATTCTGAATATACAAACTACAGTTCTCTTTATCTGAAATTCTAACTATGTATGTTGCACACTTACTGACAGATATAGTCAGTAAACAAAGCATGGATTCTGATATGGGCTGAGGCAATTTGTTTCTTTTCTACATGCAGTCCATGCATACACAGCATTCCCAATTCATGAAAATGTAGGGAGGAGAAGCCCTGAACGTAAGGCAATCCATACCTGTATCAGAGACCCACACACAGCAATCTCAGTTATGTTCTTAATATCTATACATTTATATAACTGATGATGAGTGACCAGATTAATTTATGAAGGAAAAGTGGCTATATTTCCTTCTATACATTTTTATGTAGTTTTTTACGTCCTAAATATTTAACTAATATTGATCTGTTGAATTCAGGTAAAGACATGAATAGAGAAGCAGGTGTCAGAGCTCTATAGAGTGCCAATTTTAGCCCATTTCCTACCAGATCCTTTGACGAGTTGACCTGTAATGAAAATGTTCCCCTTCAAATAGTTATTTTGATGAATATGATGAAAACAACAAACCACTGTGCAATGCTTGAAGAAGGATGAAAAGCAAAATGAACTGGAACAGTAGCAAAAGCCACATGATCCTTGTAGGACTGATTAACTTCATATTAAATTGAACAAATCAAATTAAGTAAATTGGGAAGGTATGTTGTTTTCCTTTTCAATATAAACAGGCCTACATTTTCAAACTGATCAAAGATACTGTTGCGTTTGTCACAGTCCAATCGCTTGCCATTTTGAATAATGGTGCTTCAAGACATTTGCTGTTTCTGACACTTGTGGTTTTGTGAATGGCCAGCATGCTGGTCACCTACAAGCCAGACATCAGCCACACCAGTCCTCATGTTGATGATGATCTCTTTTCAAGCAGGCTAGTAGGACCAGCCAGGAGCAGCACCAATTGAACAAAATATGTGATAGTAACTTCAAACCTACATGGCAATACAGGCCTATCCTATAATGAGGTACTTCCTGGTTTGCTTCTGGGTCTGTGGCTACTGTCTCTAAGGAAGCAGATGTCTCTGAGTTTCCTCAGTGATCAGGATAGGGCAGCTTTTCAAACCTGGAGCTGCTGTGATTGGCATTCCAAAACGTCTGAAGGCTACCAGGTAGACATAACAAATTCTGTCGCAGACCATGTTGTATAAGTAATGAGGCAGATACACTATCTCAAGTACATAAGGGTTGGGTTTAAATCTTTTGGGGGGATTTTTTTTTTCAATGTTGTAATGTTCTTTTTTAAAATATGAACATAATAAACATGTACTCAGCCCATGGCTCTTATTAAACAATAAATACGAAAAGCTGAATCAAAAAAGCTCTGCCAAAAACAGTTAAGTGATGATTATGTAACACTTCCCTCTGCTACAAAAATACACCACACCACTGTCCAGTTTTATGCTCCATTACTTCCAATAGAGTTGCGTCAGCATAGAACTGTAGAAATACAGTGGTAAAGCATGCTTTTGACAGTGGGTGTATTGAAAACCATGTCATTGCGTTAAAGACATAATTTCTCATGAGAAGTGTAGGGAAACCACAGTATGTTCTGTTTTTACAGCATGGGTGAGCTTCAGTTTTAATCATAACAAGATATTGAAAAATGTGCATTAGGGGAACAAGGAACAGCAAGCAACCCTTATTAAGCAATGGATTTTCTGGTTCCTACAGCTACAGTGGATAACAGAGTGTGGGTAACTTTGTCTCAACAACAAAAAGCCATTGAATTACATCCAGTTTTAACTAGAAAGAGCCCATTAAATTGTATGCAACTGTATGCAGTTTATGAATGACTGTTTGGTTCTTGACTTAAAGACTATTTTGGCATTATATTTCATTATTTTTTCTACTCTTCCATAAAAAAATCATTCTGAAATTTGACTTTATTGTGCTGCTAACAGCTGTGGCTTCTTCCATTTGCTAATGGTGGGACTACCTCTCGAATGATGTGGAGTGGCCCCAGTCATAGATTCATTCATTTATTTATTAATAGGGTCACATAATTTGGGTTCTACCAGCTGATTGTAAGGCTTCAGGGAATGAAAGAGTTTCCTGCAATTAATCCTCTCCCTGCAGCCTCTCTTCCCCTCTAAATCTGGGTTAAGAGTCCCTCTGGGGTTTTTGGAAAGTGGGACAGCGTGGGAAGGGAATTTCCAAAAATCCATTCCCTACCATTCTGCCAGCAGAAGCTTTACTGTCAGCTGAGTGAAACCCATTGGATGCAGCCTTTTGACATCCAAAACAAGTGAAAGGGATATAGCTAAATGAAAGACAAAGAAAGTTCAGAAATAAAATCCTCAATCTCCATTATTCTCAATGGAACATGAGCAGATGCCCACAATGAAATTAATGGAGATTGAATCTTAGAAGCAATGGTCAATGCTAAAATGAGTTGTTACTTAAGACGATACCACAAAATTTGTGATTCTCACATGTATATAACTAGGAAGCAGGGACTTGTAGCACAAGAATGATTTGCATTAAAAGAATGAGGATAGGTTGATTTTTGGCGATTATGGCACATCAGAATTTTGGGTGTATGTTTAAGTACACTAGTATATTGGTCTACAAACTCAACAATGTGGAAAACGTGCTACTGTTTGGGGGGAAATTTGCCCTCCTGCATGCAGAAGGCATCTTCTGCTCACTATTTTACGTGAAACACAGAAGAAGCAAAAAGCATGTTCTTCCATTTGGACAAAAGGCTTCACAAGGCTTTGGGCAACCTCCTATGCAAGCATAATAATGAAAACTGCCGATCAGCAGTGGTCACTGGAGTGGTGGCACTTACCTGACCTCCTGACAGCCCCATTGGTGGGGCATGCCACAGAGTAGGGACAAGGAAGAGGTGAAGTTGGTTTGGTGCACACCAACCAGGCAGAGAGTGCTAAATTGGCTTTGCCAGTATATCTGCATCACAACGGCCTTTCCTTTCCTAATACACTGTAGCGATGAGGGTGACAGGAGGTCAGGTAAATGCCGGCAGCCAATTGACTGCCATCTATAGAACCTACTCAACATATCCCTGTGTGAATTCTTGTACACAGGTTTGTGTGGGGCAGCACTGATAGCTGTTTTCCTTCCATTCATGATTTAATCTTTTGAACAGAAGAAAAAAAACATATTTTTTTTGCAAAGGTTGTATCCATGGGGCTAAAAGCTCAAGACAAAACAATGCCCTGTTATCACTGGGATACAGGGAGTGGAAGGAGACACCTCCCTCTAGGAGAGTAAAACCGCATTGTAATAAATGAGTAAAAAAATGAAAAGAAAGAAAAACCTTTGGGGGTCTGAGCATATGGAATGTTTCCGCAGAAGGGGAGCCTTTTTCCCTTTGTAAGGTCTAAAACGAAGGAGGAGAAGGACCACATCAGTTGACCTTTCATTGCTCTCTTTCGCACTGTTAGAGCTGCATTCACTTTCTGCTGCCATGTTAGATAAACAAGATCCTTTAATCAAAAGCTGGTATTCTGAAATACCATTTACGGACACCATGCAGCTCTAAGCAAAGCTTAAAACGTATGGGTTAAAAGCTTGAACTCTCAGCCTCTTATCTGCTGCAACAAATATATACATATATATGCATATGTATTTCTAAAAACATACACACAGAGACAAGCTCGTACCAGGCTGCTTCACAGCATAAGAATGAGAAAAAGAAGACTTTTTCTGATGAGCCACCAAGTCAGATTAGTTGGACGTGAGCACATGGTAAGCACAGATTGCAATAACTGATGCAGGAAAGGTTGAGAACAAGAGAATGTTGATTGGACTATTCTGCAGAACGAGTACAAACAAAAGAAAATCATGCCTTGTTAAAGGAGGGAATAAACTTCAATACTTGCCAACTTTTCTTGTTCAATTCAGCAAAATTATTTTTCAATGCTACATTGCCTGGAAATAGCTGTCATTTGATTCTGCTCTGGAACTAGTGTAGATATCAGTACAGATACAGATTTACATTTGTATTGCAATGATATTCATATATGTTCTCATAATGCTAGCATCCATTAAACACTAATAACGACAAGGAGCATTGGTCCTGTTTAGCAAAATTTAATCTGCCTTGAAATAACAAGATCAATCATTCCTGCCCTTGAAAAAGACAATTCTAATAATGTGACATCAGTTCTATTGTATCCTTCATACAATATAAAGCATTTGCGATGGTTTATTAACTCAAGAACAAAATTTAGAAAAAATAGAAAATCAGTGCTGAGCTACAATTACCATTTGAAATAGGTATTGATTAAGTTCACAAGTAATTTTGCATTCAGAAACAGGCAGCACACAATATTTATGAGTGTTAACTATACTCAAAGCCAAAAAGTTGTGATGTGAATTGGTTTAACTGCTGCCATTGTGAGGAGGTAACAAAGAGTCAGAAAAGTGATTGTAACTCACAAAAAAATTGGCTAGTACTTTAAATTGGAAAGAAAGAACAACCAAAGTGTAGCGAGACATTTTCAAAGCTCATGCAACTCACCATTTCCCTGGCATTCCTGCAGAGGGCCATATCAGGATCCAATCTGTCCCTTGCAAAATAATTTCTCTCTTTCATCTCAGATCTGAGGGTTTGTCCTTTGATCAAATATATGTTAGCCACATAAGGGATGTTCCATACACCCCTGGGGGAAAATGGTAAAATGAGTTGGGTGTAATATACACTTGGATGAATTTCATTCAAGTTTCATCATTTTTTCATCATTTGTTTCCTATGGTGAGAATTTTCCACTCATGAAACAGGATGAAAATACTATGGAGCATAATTCTTTTTTTTAATCATTTGTACTCTTGTTGCTAGGGATGCGGGTGGCGCTGTGGGTAAAACCTCAGCGCCTAGGACTTGCCGATCGCATGGTCGGCGGTTCGAATCCCCGCGGCAGGGTGAGCTCCTGTCTTTCGGTCCCAGCTCCTGCCCACCTAGCAGTTCGAAAGCACCCTTAAGTGCAAGTAGATAAATAGGTACCGCTTTATAGCGGGAAGGTAAACAGCGTTCCGTGTGCTGCTCTGGTGCCGGTTCGCTGGAGCAGCTTCGTCACGCTGGCCACGTGACCCGGAAGTGTCTGCGGACAGCGCTGGCTCCTGGCCTCTAGAGTGAGATGAGCGCACAACCCTAGAGTCTGTCAAGACTGGCCCGTACAGGCAGGGGTACCTTTACCTTTACTCTTGTTGCGGAGAAGCTCAACAAAGCTCCACTATACAGAACTGAGAGAACATTATCCATTTGTAAACAAGACTAAGGAGACCAATAAGTTACTGTGGAATATTTGGTAATGCAACCACATGGAGAAAGGCACAAATTGAACCATTCTAAAATTATATTTAACACCCAGCTGTAGAAGCACATGTCCCAGAACGCTACTTGACCCTGTGGCGGGTTTCTAAAGCTGGACAAACAATAAACAAGCAAAATCAATCATTTTTTGCTTGTTTTTCAGGTCAGGTTTCTCGCTCACAGACCCATATACAAGAATAAAATCAGAAAATAGCTGAATTGAGAACATTCACTTTTAAATCTCCCTTCCATTTTTTATTCAATTAAAGCTATTGACAGAGCACATAGTCTTCAAAATCAGCTTATAAATTAAAATATATGGCAATTACAAGGAAACAGAATTAAAAGCAGCCTTTCCAATAACTAACGTCTTTATATGTCACTTCTTTTATGGTTGTTGTTTTTTCCAAATAAATTTTTATTAGTTTTCCAATATTCCCCCAATAATAGCCAGCTTATAACAATATCAGTTAATTCCTTCTTTTATGGTTTCTGGCTGAGGAAAAAGCCGGAACTGAAATATGCGGGAAGTATGGGGAAAGTAAATTGTTTGGGGTATGCTGAAGGAATTTAATACACAGTCAATGCAAGCAGTTCAAAGTAAGTGGGTCACACTCTCGAGAGCCCCCCCTTTTTTTTGCAACCCAGGGTTATGAAGATCTTTACAAGCATTAAATAAAGTCCTTCTTACCGGATTCTTCTTTGGTTTTTATTTTTTTACTTTTATTGTGGGGCATGCATGGAGACAGGTTTTGAGGATATCCACAGGGTATTTCAACATGTTACAGGGATTAGTTAGCCGAAAAGGGGCTGAAAACCACTCACAGCTGACTGTGTCTTAGAAATACTTCACTTTAAGAAATGCTCACTGAAGCAATAGTCAATACAGCCACCACAATTGTGTCCGCCCGTCTCCCAGAACCAACTTATTTAACACATACGTTGATGTGGCATGTTATGTATGTTTTATACCCCACCATTCCTCCAAAAAACTCAAGGTGGCATACATGGTTCTCTTCCTCCCCATTTCATCCTCACAACCACCATATGAGGTAGGTTTGGTGGACTATGACTGGCAAAAGGTTACCCAGTGAGTTCTCTGCTCAGCCACGAAGCAGCTCCTTGGAGCAAAGCTGGAATACAGTGGTACCTCAGGTTACAAACACCTCGGGTTACAAACACTCCAGGTTATAGACTCCACTAACCCGGAAGTAGTACCTCGGGTTAAGAACTTTACCTCAGGATGAGAACAGAAATCGTGTGGCAGCAGCAGGAGGCCCCATTAGCTAAAGTACCTCAGGTTAAGAATGGTTTCAGGTTGAGAACGGACCTCCGGAACAAATTAGGTTCGTAACCAGAGGTACCACTGTATAGACATGATCAATACTTACATACGTGCCAAATCAAAAAAAGTATGAACAAGGTGGTTTTTCAACAACTACTATTGGGATAGCTGTTGGATGTCTGTATGTGGAATTGCATGTTCCTTGGGTGTGCTCATGTGCAACTCTGGGACACTCGCGGTGTGCCAATGTCACTCCTGCACATCACAGGGGTGTGTCAATGTGACATCAACATGTTCCAGAGTGTGCGCATGCCACCAAGTTGAATCGGAGGGGGGTAGCAGCCCTTTCATTTAAAATTTGTGGGTGCCTGGGCACCCAGGGCCCCACATAGTCGGCCCCTATGCAAAAGAGCAAACAGTTAACTTACACTCTGTTTCCTTGGACAATATCCACGTAGTCTTCAGACCGAGCATAATATCCATCAGGGCTCAGCGCTCCCCAAAAGTTTGACCAAAGCTTCCCATGGCGCAGTACAAGAGGGGCAATCATCTTTCTGTTTTAAAAACATGATTGCATTGAAAGTTAACAAAAAGATTGAAATGTGAGGCAATCACAAGGAGGAACTCTATAACTGGGGGAGAGACAGATGTTAATAGCTGTCACTTATTCTAAATAGGCCTCTTTGCTTCCAGTCACTTCCTCTGGGATAGTGAGAAAAACCGAGTCTTTCTGAATTCTGAATTTGTAAAGCAACAACTGCAACGTGAATTTTCAAGGGCCATAGCTCAGCGAAGAGTATATGTTATGCATGCATGCATGCATAAAGTCTTATATTCCATCATTCACATTCCCACTGAAAGGCTTCTGCTAGAATAGCGATGAAAGATCTCTGCCTGATGTCTAGGAAAGGGGCTGCCAATCAGGATAAAATGGATTAACGGTGTGAATGATAAAATAGCTCTTTAAAGCCTTAACTGACACATAGTGAAACTGAGTCTCTCTTGTAGACACATTCTCGTCAAAGTCAAGAAAGTTGACGTGATCAAAAAGCAAACATGCTGAAGGAAGTGCCTTTACTGCAATATGTGCAGAGAAGCATGGGGGAGAAGGGTCTCCATCCCGGCAGCACATATCCACCAATGACAGAGCATTCACATGATTAAGAAGAGCCCCCTAAATCAGAATTTTTTAAAAAAGACTGGGAACCTTTTATTATGTATTTACAGAAATACTGTAAAGATATGGACTCACTAGCAGGGTTTCATTAAACACTCACAAGTAAGAAAATAAGATCAACGGTTAAGTAAGGACAACATGGAATGAAATTGACTGTAAGATGTAATCATGAAAGAAAATTTGGTATAAAACTGATAAGAAAATACAAGTATTAAGGTGTAAGATTATAAAAATAAGTTAATAAATACTCAGAAGTAGTAAATATTTAAAGAACCAGAAGGGGAAGTTGAGGGAAGTCACGGGGAGGGGGGGATTTCTTTTTCTTTTATATGACAAATGTTATATTGTGTTGTTTGATTGAATATAAAACTGTAAAAATCCAATAAAAATTATTATTATTATTATTATTATTTAAAAGAGCCCTCTAAGTCATAATGGAAGGCAAGTCTGCACATAAAGGAGTGCATTAATATTCTCCTCTGCCCTGACATAATGGGCGATATCCAGTGATGCAGAAGTAATTTTCCTCTCCTCCCCCACTGCAGCTCTCCACAGTTTTTAGGTACAGAGATAGGAACGGGAAACACCGCTGCGCAAATGGAAATCTACTCTACCGGCAGATGAACACCACTGGATGCCACCCGGTATATCTTCTTTCATGAGAAATCTATTTCAAGGAATTACTAAACAAACCTGTAGTAGTCACTGAAACCAATAAAAGAACCTAGAATTGATAAGTTCCCCAACCCCTCCTGCCATAAGCGTACCGATTCTGTTCTATCAAGAGTTTTAAAGTCCTGGGGTTCGTTAAAACAACATCTGCATCTATGCTGAAATAATAGTTGCATCCTTCATTCTGCCGACAGATGTCCCTTGAAAAGGAAGAGACACACAAGGCATTAGCATTGCAAACATGTTCCATTCCAAAGAGATGATAATAGTTTTAAGCATACAGCTGCAGTGTGCATTTAAGAAGTTCCTTTGCTTAATAGCTACCTGAATTGGCAACTCAACTCCTGAAACAAGTCTACTTAAAGCAACTGTTAGTAGTTGAAAGTAATAGGTTTTATGGCTAATAATACAATCTGGGTTTCACTTGATTTATCTATCCACCAGAAGGAAGTTTTTCAAAATATCAGTCTCACTCTTTGCACAGATGTCTTGGATTTTTGAAGGTGATGTTACTACCAATTTGGGGAAATTTGTCCAACTTTTGGAAGATTTGCATAGTGAAATTCTTCTATTTCTCCCAGATTTGGAGAGCTGTATTCCCAATATTTTCAAAACCCCAGATATTTTCTAAATTCACATTCACTGTCATTAACTTGTCCCTTCCTAGTAAATGAAAAAAACCATTCTTAATAACAATGCCATCAATTAATACAACTGTACACCTATTTGTTGAAAATTAAATCTGACAATACAATAGCAATTTACGGATACCTATTTACCATACCTATTCCTGAACGCAAATATAAATTACATATTAATACAACCATTGTCCTCTATGTACAACTCTAATTTCTGATCACAATATTATCCCCCATGTGACAGACAGGTAGGTAAGTGGTAAACATAACCCTAGTTTACTGTTTTACTATTGGACTGGAGCCTCACTCAATAGCTCAGTTGGGAGAGCATGAGACTCTTAATGCCAGAGTCATGGGCTTGAGCCCCAATAGATGACCCTATTGCAGTTAAGGTGTGGATGTTAACAAAATACTGACGTAGATAGTTGGCTGGTTTAATACCAGGGAATTCTGTTGGAAAATAAAATGTGATATTAAACGGCTGTGCTGCAATCCAGTAAATGGCCAATCCAGTGCACATGTATGTGCGCAAGAGACAAAGAGATGTGATATCGGGATCTGATTATAAAAGCTACGGGACATAGATCATTTTGAAGGCTATGAACATTCTCGTTCCCAGAACTTTCATAATTTATAACAGCTGGATCTCTCTCCCCCCCCCAATGGTGCAACCTTTCAATGAAAGACGAACCAGCTGTATGTTATCATCCCAAACATATGTTGCAAGTCATACAATGATGAGGGAGCTATTCTGTTCAGTGGAAAGGTTGTTTGAGAGTGAAAGCCACATAGATTTTTTTTCCAGGACGCAGCCCCACTCCACAGCAAAAAGCCACTCTGTTGAGACCTGGCAGAGTCCACCTCTGTTAGAATTGCAACTAGCTTCTCACGTCCCAGAGGCAAGTGTCTGGGCCTTGGGAGAGGCAGCAAGAATTCACAGGATCAAGGTGTGCAGGGCAGTGAATGCTTGGAAAGAAGAAAACCACAGCTCACAAGCATGATAACAGGTGCCTTACTTATGAACATCTGATCAGGGCAGCCCACATAACACTGTTAGAGATGGGTAGAGATTGGAGAGTGTAGTTTGGGGGGGGTTGGTGGTGCGGACCAGTTCTGGACCAGTTTCCCTAGAGCAGGCAACCCCAAACTCAGCCCTCCAGCTGCTTTGGGACTACAACTCCCATCATCCCTAGCTAACAGGACCAGTGGTCAGGGATGATGGGAATTGTAGTCCCAAAACAGCTGGAGGGCTGAGTTTGGGGATGCCTGCCCTAGAGGCACACAGCTGATGCCTATGTTGTTAGCTTCTTGGTGCCAGATCAAGACAGTTTTATCATCCTGAACTCCTAATAGATTATTTATTTTATACCTGCTGTTTCCCTATTTTTATTGCTAGTCTTTCTGCTTTTTAAAATGTCTTTTACAATTGCTTTATTACTATTACTATTTTGCATTACTTGAATGTAAATGCTAGATGTTGAATTTTAAAAGAAGTTAGCCAACCTTCTTAAAAAAACACACCTAAAAATAAAATAATGATCTTAACAGAGAAGCCGATGAATAATCTACAACATCTGCTGAGTATCAACATGAACTATTAGTCTCAGCACTCTAAAAACATATGTTGGAAGTCTCAATGATGGATCATTAAATCTTTGCCAACAAGCAACAGCCCTACAAGAAAGCAGCAGGAATTGCTCATAAACACAATACATTGTTGGAGCCACTGCATCAATGATTTGGTTGTGTGTTCATTTTAATTAGACATCTTCCCGTCTAAATCTACACATTTCATTCCTGTCCATATAGAGATCTGAGGAGATAAATCGTTAAAAATAGAATTACATTCCCATGTTCCTGGCATCAGCTTGACTCAGATATTCTTCAGGCCCCACAATTTGTATCGTTTTGAACATGTGCTTGGCTTTTTCCCAAAACGTCTTGATATGTCTTTCATGGTGAACTTCCTGAAAAGGTAATGAAATAATTAATAAAAGAGAAATCTGTAATACCGTGTAAAAATTAAACATGCAACAGAGCAGTCCAGTACTAGCCTGTGGTATAAGTTCTCCATAGAGGTGTAGCAGGTGCCTTCACTATACCTCCGCAGAAGGGCATCCTTGACCTACAGACATTTGTTTCAAGGTCCAAAGTAAGGCTAGTTGCATAGACTTGCTTCGGACACTGAAACAGATGCACACAGATTGGTGGTGGAGCCCCAGGCAGGAATGCCTCCCCTCCCAATACACATGCTTGTTTCCACCAGGGACACCAGAAATCAGGAATAGTAAGAGAAAGAGACCCAGAGGAGAGGAAGATATATCGTATTTTTCTGTGTATAAGACACCTCCTATTTTGGGGGACCCCAAATTAAGAAAACACCCCTCAGCACTACCCATGTATAAGACGAGCCCCAATTTCAAACCTAACTTTTTGGTTAAAAAAAACACCTAGTCTTATACACAGAAAAATACGGTATTTTGTTTAGCAAGCAAAAAGAGAATCAGAAGAGCACACAGCCCAGTGACAGGAAAATAGCATACCTGAAAAAAGAAGGTGCTAGAGGAAATAACATTTTAAAATACTTTGTTTTAGCTGCAACGCGCCTATAACACAACTAGATCTCTGACAAGTGATTTAATATAGTTACTCATTTTTATAATGATGGCGAAAAAATAAGAAGAGCAACAATCATTCTAAAAAGTCAGTCCACCTTTACAGAGTTCCTCTTTAAATATTATTTCGCCTCAAATAAGTTCCACTTTGAACTTGGATGTTAGCACTTACTAAAAATATTATGATAATCAGCAGGAACCGTCACCATAAAAAATAACGCTGGAAATTTAGCAGCAGAATAAACAAGCCCAAGATCAACTACTATTTTAGGTCACTCCTGCTATTTTACAGATGTGTTAACTCCTTAGGCTACAATCCTGTAACAGCTCAACCTGAGTGTATGCCCCATTGAACACAGTGGGAGTAAATCTGAGTAGACATGCATAACATTAAGCTGTTAATGTATTGGATTTTCTTATTCTTAAAAGAAGGTGGGTGGAAACGGAAGGGTGTAGCCAGTTTTTCTTAATTAATGTAGAATATATGATTGTGATCTTTTGCCCATGGCATTACCTTCTATACTATAGAGTGACACTACATATTAAATATTCCCTAACTGGGATTTATTATTCCTAGAGAGGTCTTATCTTTTTACACATCAATCAGAGTAGTTAAAAAGTGATTTCCCATTGCTTGTGAAAATTCAGTTTCATTGGATAAGCTCTAAAATCTAGGGTGGTTTTTTTTTGGGGGGGTGTAAAACTATTTCAGTACCTTCCCTGAACCGCTAAATCCATACTAGTTAGCCAGTGAAAAATATGTGAAATTGTGCCAGGCATAAATTTATAAAACTGTTTGTTTTCAGTTTTGTGACTCTATTTGAGTTGCAAGCCTCAGTGTATATATAGAATTGTTTGCATTTGTAAAAATGAATAGCAACAGTTCTCCATAATTCATTATTTGCTGATGAATAAATTGGGATGTAACCTAAGCAAGGTCTTTCATTGGACCAACCTTTTTTTAGGTGTGGCAGCACACAAACATCAATTCCACAGAACACAGGGAATGGTGTTGGACAAGCTGCGGTCAACCCTATGTAAGCATACTGTTGCCGGGTGGATAAACTGCCCCAGATTGGGTGCAGGTGCCTGAAGTCACAGGTGTGAATATCCAGCCATACACTTGAATGGTGCAGCTGCAGCAACCCATTTCTCTACTTCTCAGCAATTACAGTGGTACTTCGGGTTAAGTACTTAATTTGTTCCGGAGGTCTGTTCTTAACCTTAAACTGTTCTTAACCTGAAGCACCACTTTAGCTAATGGGGCCTCCTGCTGCTGCCGCGCCGCCAGAGCATGATTTCTGTTCTCATCCTGAAGCAAAGTTCTTAACCCGAGGTAATATTTCTGGGTTAGCGGAGTCTGTAACCTGAAGCGTATGTGACCTGAAGCATATGTAACCCGAGGTACCACTGTATAAAGTTAAGAGAATTCTTCTCCCTCTCTATTGCCATGCAGTTGCCACCAGATACCGCATTGTGAACTGCCTCAGCAGTCATTGCTTGCTCCCCTCTGAATATTGATTACCCTAAACTTATTCGGACAAAATAAGCAAAAAATGAAAAATACGCCTATTGGATCAGGCCAATGGCCTATCTAGCCTGGCATCCTGTTATCTCAGTAGATGTCTGAGGGAACCTGCTAGTAGGATCTGAACACAAGATCATTCTCCCCTCCTGTAGTCTCCAACAACTGGTATTCAGAGGCAGTGGCCTGAGCTGTGTATACTTTCTATGAGGAATAGGTGACAGTGAAGTTAAATGGAAGGGATAAGCAAGAGATGAGGAACCTTTTTAACCCATTTGGCAAAGATCCTTGTCTTCTACTGAAAACATTTAGAAATGGACTTCAAAGTGAAGGTCGTGCCTTTACCTCCTTCCCATTGGACATCAAGGGTTGAAGAGGTGGGCGTGGTTTATGGGAAATGGCCTCATGGGAAATTAGGCCTGTGGGCCATTGGTTCCCCATCCATGGTATAAAAAGAAGGGGGGCAGCAGAGAGAGAAAGAAAGAGGGAAACTTTCATATCTGAAGGTATACTGGAAAATAAACTGGAGAAAAGCATCTAGAGGCCACACAAGGAGCAGTCCAAATAAAATGCTCTTTCACAAGTGAGGAGCTATACCCCCAACACACACCAACATTCCTCCCTCTGATTATACTTATTGATGCCAAAACACAGGAGCTTTAACAGCTGCCCTTAAAAATTATTTGAAGGAGCTATTTAATATTTATTGGTAGATGGTGTAATTCCACCACTTTCAAAAACCAAAAGAACAAGTAGTTTAAGTCATGGTGGCATAGCTACATGTCTTATAAACAGTACTGAACTGAGGAAGAATGGAGATGTTAACATGCTTTTGATGAAATTTTATTCTGAACATGTGTGCATGTACATACACGTATGTATGTGTATACATATATGTACACACACATTATTGTTCTGTAATAAGAGATCCATTTAAATGTTTAAGAACTTAACTTTGTGGTCAATCTACATAACTAGACCAACTTCATTAACTAATTTACAAATGTAACTGTTCAATTACCACCTAAAGTACTTACATTATTGTGAATGAAGAGGGTAATTTTTTCCTTTGCATAGTCCAGAGTCAACAATCTGTCTAGAAACTTAGGCAGGAAAGGAGTTGGTTGTTCAATGAAAACACCAATTGTTACTGTTGGAATCTCCTTAAAAAAAGTGCACAAAAATAAAAGAAAACCACGAAAAGCTTTTACTTTAAAGTTTAAAACAGTATGAACAATCTTACATTTAACCAAAATGATCCATAGTATATATCTTGGGAAATCACCTCCAGTTTTACACAAGTTATAACTCTGAATACACTTTTAATTGCTGTTTTGAGATACTAATAGCTGAAATGAAATGATACAATAAGAATCCATGAAATTCCTCCTGAAATAAGTGAGCAAAATGCTGTCTGAGAAATTAGCAAGTTTTATGCTGCATTCCTATAACCATATTCCTGAAAACAAGCAGATATTCTACCACTGAGCTATGACCCTTCTCAGGCTGTATATAAGTGTATTAATGATGTAATCAGAATATATAATAACTAAGAGGTAGAGTGTGAAGGATGGGGTGGGAAAACTCACTGAGAATTTGGAACAATGGAAATAGTTTCCTGGAGTTCTAAAGTTCTTATGGGATCAGGTTTTTTTCCTAAAGACTATGGTAGCCTGCCAATGTAGCTGACCCAGATGGCATTCAGGAGTTATCTTACCCCTGACACTGATGGAAGAACTGCTGCCAGAAATTACAGTGGACTGCAAACACATAGCCAATAAGCTTAACAATCCAATTAGCCAGTAAGAATCCTGACGGTTGCATATGTAGTGTAAGATTTGATGATGTCTATGAAATGTCAGCTAGAAGTTGTTTCTCTTTGAGTGAGTGCAAAAAAGCTTTGTCAGCTATTTCCCCCCAAAAATGATACTTTGAATCATAACTAGCTGTCAGTGCCAGGAAAAACATTTCGTATATTATCTGAATCAATGAAGACCAAGAATGTACTGTAACCTGCACAAACATGTGCCAAAAAGACAAAAAAAATATGTTTCTACCGCTGTACCAGACACTTTATATAAACATCTGGAAACTGTGAAGCATTAAGTGATTCAGACCAAAACTAAATATGGGCATGAAGGGCCTGGAAGAAAGCTGTGAAGATGAGGGAAAGGTAGGTGGTAGCAGGATGGGAAGGGTTGATAAAAGCAAGGAGGGAGAAGCTGGAGCAACAGTTCAGGTGCACAAGGAGGTAGACAATGCCATGACGATCAATATGTAGCTCAACATTGAAAGAATTCAGCCGCATGCAACAGATACTTACATCAAGTGTGGAGAAGTCTAATAAATCTGTATCACAGGCACCACATCCAGTTTCACGGTTCCAGCCATTAGGGATATAATTTCCAAAGTAATTGAGATTAAGCTACAATTGGGAGGTAGGGGGGGAAAAACAGCCCTAATTAATTCAGCAGTATAATAAAATCTTGTTTCTGTACCTTTCAATTAAAGGCCAGTTCCACAAGGCTCTGCTGTCGTGCTCACTCAACTTAAATGAGTGGAAACCAGGGGTGAAACAGAATGTGATAATTCTACCCTACTGCCACTGTCAACTAATCCTCAGTAGGCTGCTAGTATCCCAGTATCATTAAATAAATAAAAAACTTAGCTGAAACAAAGTCACCGTCACTCACTTTGGTTGGGCCGTTTCCATGGAGAGTGACTGGCAAAGTGTCATACAGTGAATTTCTCGCTCTGGCTCTTCCATCTTCAAATTTCAGGAGCACTTCATCTGCAGCCCACCAGGAAGTTAAAGATACATCATCTGTAGTTTACTCAAACAAGACTCTCACAGCATTCTTTGCATTTCCCTTAGCATCCATTTAAAAAAAAAAAAAAAAAAGATCTCCATATTTCCTGTCATTTCAGCCTACGATCCACAGGCTGTTAATTTCTACATTCACTAGGAACATTTCCAGTTGCCAAATAAGAACCACAATATTTTGTTTGTTTTAAATATCATTATTATTCCTATCCCAAGATCATATTTATGACAATTGGACCTCCTGCTTCCTCAGAGGAACTGGGTGACTATTTCCCAACACTTGTTGTAAGTCAGGGCCTGTCCAGATACAATCTTTCCCCCTCAGGGCTGTTCTGGAAACAGTGGAGGCAGACTTTCTTCTGCCACCTCTCTCCCTCTCCTTTGCCTACTTCTATTGTGGGGAGAAAAAAGCTGGAATATCTTTCTAGGTTTTATTTTTCTGGGATGAGGAGTGATCCAATGTTCAAATAACTACATGATCTTCCAGTTGGTCAGTCAGTTCTCCCACTGGGAAGCCAATGAAAGACTACATAAGGCAGGGGGCCTGTAACCAATCTCCACTTGATGTTAATTCCATATGAAGTATAAATGTACAGAAAGCCCCTTGGATGTATTGTATTATATAATAGGTAATGCAGAAATGGCAAGGAAGAAATCTGAGAGGCATATCCTTCATCACTCAATAGACACTTCAGAATACATACCAACTGCTCCATTGAGAGTCTGGAAAATGTTGCACTTGTGATCCAACGTGATATTAATGCGTTCCTAAAATGTAAGTATATAAAATATGCTAAATGAGGCATTATAAAATCAAGGGCAGTACAGTGGTACCTCAGGTTAAGTACTTAATTCGTTCTGGAGGTCCATACTTAACCTGAAACTGTTCTTAACCTGAAGCACCACTTTAGCTAATGGGGCTTCCTGCTGCTGCCATGCCGCCGGAGCACAATTTCTGTTCTTATCCTGAAGCAAAGTTCTTAACCTGAAGCAATATTTCTGGGTTAACGGAGTCTGTAACCTGAAGCGTATGTAACCCGAGGTACCACTCTACAAACAGAATTCTAACCATCTTGACAAATGTAAACTATCTGCAAACATGATTGGATGTTTTCGCTGACAATTCATTTTAATATCCTTAATTCTTATGCCAGATGTTTCCCAATCCCTCATATATCTTCATAGTTCAGCGTGTCATACAGATCTGTCCCTCGTCAAGAACATACAATTCATTTAGCCAACGGTTTCTATCATCCTACAAACAAAGGCTTGCTTTCTGTTTTGTAAGCCAAGCAAATTAAGTTCATGACTTCTCAAAGAATGATGAGTCAGCGGTATAGGAGAAGAGCTGCCAATTGACACTAATACATTAACAGCTTGAAATAAAGAAAATTTGGAAATATACCAGGATATATACAGAACAATTTGGGTGACTTCAGATGTTGCTGCTATACATATTGACTTTCTTGTTTGTGCCTTGCTTTGAAAAAAAGAGAACGAGCAGCAAACCATGTTCTTCAAAGGGACCACTGCAATAGAATTCTCACCCAAAGATCTGCTAAAATCTCCACTAAAATCAATACAACATCCATGTAATACTGGAATTGTGCAGGAGTTTATTTCCTGGATGTCCAAAAGTCCTTAGGCAGACTACCTCTAATTTAGGCGGATGACAGCATGAAACTAAACACATCAAACCTACAACAAAATGTTACAGTGAGGGGTGTTCTTGTCCAGGTTCCTATTGACCAGGTCCTTTTCTAGAATACTCCCATATGCAAACCCCCCCCCCCCCACATAATCTGCCAGCATTCCACCTGGCCACTGAACATGCACAGTCATCATTGGAAAAAAGAATTCCATCCCAATGAAAAATCTTGAAATTTTGGGGTTCCAAAAATTTCCAAAACCCTGCATCCAAACCCTCTTGTTTGTAGATGCCATTTGAGCTAATATAGGATATTTATAGAAGATAGAATCATTCTTTCAAGTGACCTAAACATAGCCAGAATTTTAGCTTGGTTCATCACTCATTTTTCACAATTGTGTGCAAAGCTGATGTACTCCAGGAGTCATAAAAATGATTCATAAAGTGGTTCAACATACCCTCTTTAATTGGTCGATATAGATTTTTGTATAAAAAAGCTGATCGTCATCGTTATCTTGGAGGTTCCATTGTTGCACAATACTGTTTACAGCTGGAGAATATCCAATAAATCCTGAAAGAGACCATAGATTGAACTAAATAAAGACATCACTGTTTCCACTTGAAAAAGAGCTGCCTGCACCGAACATCTAACTTCAGGAAGTCCCAGTAGATGAAACTAGATAAAGTTTTCCCATCCATTTATGACCAGAGACTTGTCTTAGTACAATTTCCCTGAATCTCTGTGCAAGTAAAATCCTCAATGATACACTGGGCAATAGATATCAGTTATAATATAGACATGGAAGCATGGGAACAATTGTGGAATATGGATATAAAATTTACAGCACGTAAATGATATAAAAATGATATAACATTGGTATCTAACACTGAGTAACCTAACAAAAATGTATAAATCTAAATCAAACAAGTGTTGGAAATGTAAAGAGAAAGAAGGTTCTTTTTATCATATGTGATGGTCTTGTAGTAAGATTAAAGCATACTGGGAAATGATATATAATGAATTGAAAAGGATGTTCAAAATAACCTTTGAAAAAAACAGAACCTTTCCTTTTGGGAACTATAGAGACAGAACTACCTAAATATATGTATGCTACCATACTATATGTGTGCTACTACAGCGGCAAGAATGCTACTTGCCTCAAAATGGAAAGAAGCAGAAGTCCCAAAGGGAAGAATGGATACAAAAACGTATGGAATATGCAGAAATGGCAAAAATTGCCGGAAGAATAAGAAATCAAGATAACAAACTTTTAATAAAAAAATGGAAATGGTTTATTGAATATTTATAGATAAATTGCAAACAGATAAAAACATTGGCAGGATTATTGTAATAACCTGTAGTTTCATAAGAGTATCTATTTAAAGTAGATAATCAAATGAGCAAATTAAATTAAGTTGGATATGCAGAAGATATTAAAAAATAAATTTAAGGAACTGCAGAAAGAGAGGGAAGGAAGTCAAACTTTGAAATGTTAAAATGATTGTAAATATATATATATAAATTTGAAAATATAAATAAATTAAAAAGAAGAAGAAGAAGTGGTGTGGAATCTGTGGTCTTCCAGGTAATGTTAGGCTCCAACTCCCATAATCTCCAGCCAGCATGTCCCATGGAGTCAGGAGTGATGTGAGTTCTAGTCCAACATGACGTGGAGAGCTTTAAGAATGGCATCAAAGTGTGAGAGTATGTCCGAGTTCATTAGCTGCTAGATAAGTCCTGCCCTGGATAAATAGAAAACATCTAGTTTTCAGAGTGGGTGGATATCTGGAATATAGAATCACAGAACTGTAGAGCTGGAAGGGACCACGGGGATAATCTAGTCCAACTTCCTGCAATGCAGGAATCTTTTTGCCCAATGTGGGACTCAAACTCATGACCTGGAGTCTCATGCTCTACCAACTGAACTCTGGGCTGGCCACCTGCCACAGACTCTCCAGAAGCAGAAGGAACACCATCAGCACTAAAGAAGATGTTTTGTCAACTGTTTTTGAAGTTTCATTATGATGAAGCATTAAATAAATATTGTGAAATAAATCAAACAGTTTTTATGAAACTACCTACCTCCTGCATTAAGGTACCGTTTTCCACTGCGAACAATAGGGTACTTGTCTGCTAGTCGTTTATCAGGCCATATCAATCCATCTGCTGCAAACACTACCTTGTGATTAGCTTGCTGGAACTTCTTTAACAACTCTTCAGGTCCCCCAGCAAATATAACATCATAGCTGAAGTTTGGAGGGATAAAAAGATGAGCATTAAGGGCATTTCTAGGCTTAACATAGACATTCAAAACAGGAGTGAGTGAGTATGTATACACACACACACACACACACACACACACACACAGACACAGAGAGAGAGAGAGAGAGAGAGAGAGAGACTTAGAATAAATCTCATTTTCAAAAAGTTATTTCATGTGCATATTTTATTATTTAGAAAAGATGATGCATGCAACCTCAAAGAGATGCATACAATTCATTTACTCCGAAAATCTGGCTAATTGTCACCATACCATTCACTTGGGCTGCATTCATACTGCAGTTTATTCCATTTTCTTGACATGTTATTTTGTGCATTATATTTGAGCTTTTCACACAACATAAAATGTACTTCCAGAAAACTAATTTTCTTGTCATGTATCACTTCCCAGAATACCCTCACTAGATGCCCTTTTTTCAGCTCTTCCTTTTACCACCACACAACAAAACCAGTTTGCTTCGACTTACATAGGGCACACTGAAGTATGCAAATCTAGTTTCCTGCAGTGAGCACAGATGAGCCTCCACAAGAAGCAACATATTGGGATATAAATAATAAAATTATTATTATTACTACTACCTATACACTACACCAGGAATAGCCAATGTGGTGCTCTCTCTCTCTCAATCCTTGCCAGCTTCACCAATAGTCAGGGTCCTTGGAAGTTGTAGCACAACAACATGTGGAGAACACCAGCTGTTTGTCTATGCCCTAAAAAGTAACAGCCAACTATTACCTCAGTCCTCTAGATGAGGTTTAGGGCAACCACAGGGACAGCCAGAAAGAACCAATTAGAAGCCATTTTTCTTCTTCCAAGTTTGTTTTTAATTAAGTGAGTTTGTACTCTAGAAACTGGTTTGTATTCAAAAGATATGGTGAAGTGGAAAAAGAAAAATAGGCCAAATTATCTGCGTTCTCCACACCTGTACTTGACATAGTAGAAGTCCTAAGAAACATTTGTGGTCTTGTCTCAGAAACAGTAAGGTTTTTTATTGTTATTATTTTAAAACATTCGTTTTCTTGTAAGAATGCCTTGTAAATCTAGAAGACAGCAATAGGCAGCTGCAACAAATTTAGGAGAGCCATCCCTGTCATTAATGTGATTAAGCTTAGCCCCAAACTTTTCCATCCATTTAACGATATTGTTTTGTTTTTACATATTTGTCTTAAATGCAGGAGTGGGAAAGCATTATTTTCTGCTGAGGGCAGCATCTCCTTTGTGCTAAGGCAATGTGGCCCTCAACAGAAAAGGCCAAAGCCAGTAGCGGGTGAGGCCAGAGTCGGAAGTGGGCTGGTCCACTCTTTCTCCTTCTCTGCCCCCTGCCACTTCCCTCCATTTTCTTTCTAACAGCCACTTCTCTCCCTTCCTTGTCTCACTCCCTCCCACTCTTCCACCTTGCCTGTCAAGGAAAGGACAAATTATTCTGGTCAGAGGTTGAAACTAATCACTTGCAGAGAGCTATTGAAATTATGCAAAGCCTCAGGACTTCAGGTTCCCCACCCCTGTCTTAAAGCTATAGCTGCTAGGTTGATTTTAATAATATTTATTTATCACTGAAGAGAAATGAATTTCACTCTTCACCTTTGTAGGAAGAGGATCTCCACTTAATGAGAGTGCATACCCCCACAGTAATGGTTGTTGTTAAATAATCTTCTTTGATCTTTCCCTGAACTTCTCACTTTCACTTATTTTCTTCTTCTTTGGCGATCACATGTAGCCAAGTTAGATTGTCTTCCATAAACACGGTTTTAACAGTGAGTCCACAAGTGACTGTGGAGGCTGATTCTGGATCCACACCTCCTTCCACAGTGGGGACATAGATTTCAGGACGGGAGTTGATCATGGTGAAGGTTTGCCAAACGTGCCTTTCTCTTAGCTCGTTTCGTTCCTGCTCTCATGTCAGTTTTGTACACAAATGGGGTGCCTGAAAGGGGCAAGTGCAGGCTTCCTCAACCTCGGCCCTCCAGATGTTTTTGGCCTACAACTCCCATGATCCCTAGCTAGCAGGCGCAGTGGTCAGGGATGATGGGAACTGTAGTCCCAAAATATCTGGAGGGCCGAGGTTGAGGAAGCCTGGGCTAGTGTTTGGGTTTTTGTTTTGTTTTTTGTATCAGATTGCTTGCTCTTTAAGTGCCTGCATAAAATACCACAGCCTTGTGAGTGATTACAAATTCCCAAATATGTCTGCTCTATCATGGTTGTACTTTTACACACCAGTTCCAAACATCAGTGATAATATTCACAGCTGGCAATACCAGTTCACAAACAGTTTTTCAGAGACTGAGGCTCACTGCTGATTCCTCTGCAGAAATAGTTTTCTGCTGAATGTTGTACCGCATGATATCACAAACTATGATATTTTTGCGGCTGCTGCTGAGATTTTACAACTAACTGGAGACATATATTTGAGAAGCAATGTTTTAGCAGTGCAGCATTCAGTATATACAAAGCATTACTATGGTCCTTTGACAAGGACTGATACAAAAGGGCAGCAGAGTGCAAAATGGGCTGCTTTCATTAAGGTGGTTTATAACAATCACTTGTTGTGTTCTTCCTTTGCCAACGCATGTTCCCTGGAAGAAAACCGATATAGGCTTTGGCATGCCAACTTTCAGTAGAACAAGGTTATTATAGACGCTACCGCAGGTCTTAAGACACAGGGCTCTGTCACAACACACACGGTTTGCAAAAAGAAACCCTTGCTTTCTGTATAAAACCATGAAAAGGGCTAACAATGAATGAGCCCCTGTTGGAATCATTGCACTGCAAATTCATTAACTCAAGGAGGCCTTTGTCTAGGAACTGGAGCAATTATTGACTTGATTCCACTCAGGCAAATCTCTATTCTGCCATCAACATGCCCTTTTCAGCCAATGTCTACCTTCTTTGCAAACACAGTTAATAAAACTCACTAGTCAATAAAACACAGACTACTTGCCTCTCTGAAAGTTACTTAGCTCAGTCATTACATCCAGTGCTGCTGGATTACATGTTCAGCTGCACCTATTTTAATGGCCTTTGGAAAGCTTAAGAGAACAGAATTGCTCTTTTGGATTTCAATAACACTGTTTTACAGCTTGGTGTTACATGTTCGCATCTGCACTCTCTTATTACAGGGTCCCCCTCCCCAAAAAAATAAGTTTCGTTCCAGGTTGTCTCTAGTTCTCCCTATACAGCACTTCAAATATTTTCTGCACACACGGATCCATTACCAGGGAATAAAGAAGACTTATGCCTCCTTTCATTTTCCTCTCCCCGACCACAAGCTTGCCAAAGTGTATTCCCCTGCATCTGGTAATTCAGCAGTCCAAGATCTTGGCTGCCTCTATCCTTCCCCTCCTTGACTCCCCAGCTCCCTTTCTCCTCCAGTCTCTCTCCAGAGAGCGACTACCACAAATGCATAAGCTGTAGAGGTCCTTGTCATTTGGCAGTTTTAAACCACATGAGGGGAAGAAAAAGAATGCCTTGTTCTTTTCGTTTTTTGCAGTCATGAATATGCACTCAAACAGGTTTCCTCTCTACTAAACTTTCAAACGTAATCTGTTCCAGAAGACCATTCGACTTCTGAAACATTTGAAAACCGAGGCACAAAGGGCAGTCTGAAAATTTACAGAGAGAGAAAATTGAGAAAAATACAATGCCCGTTCAACTTCCAAGACGCATTCGAAAATGGAAACATTTACTTCTGGGTTTTTGGTGTTCGACTTCTGAAATGTTCGTCAACGGAGACTTTAGAAAACTGAGGTACCACTGTACAATATTCTTCATTTTATGTTCTTCTTGTCATCTTCTCCACAACCCTATATTTTCTTGCTGCTGCCACACCTTGGTTTCCTCCATCATCAGCCTGGTGCTTGCCAGATGTTTTGCACTGTAACTCCCATCAGCCCCAGTCAGCATGGCCACTGGTTACAGACCATGAGAGTTGGAAACCAAAACATCTGAAGGACACAAGGTGTGCTTTCCTTTTTTGCTTTCTTCTATATAGACTTCCCAGACAGCTAGTGCAACAGAGGTAAGAGAAGGAAGCCTCATCCATGGGGCCAACTCAGCCTAGGGAGAGAAGACCTATACTTTCTAGGACAGCAACTAGAAGTGCTGGCAATGTTTGTGGAATCCCCAACCAGCCCTGATGGTAGAGAAGGAGCCAGGAAGCATTTCTCCAGGAAATGGGACATTCTAGGCATCACAAAGGAAAACAATACCTCTTCAATGGGGCTTTCCCAAGAACAGGAGTGGAGGACTGAACAAGAAAAGGATTTGAAATGAGCATGTCACATTATGTTTAAAGACAGGTTATGTGAAAAACAGCAGGCACAGGATCATGGTCTGGCTGCGTTTCAGTGACAGAAGCTTTACAGCAGCGTCAGGCAGAACTTTGCATTGCAAAATATTATTTTTTCTCCTCATACTACCAGACTGCTTTTTTAAATTATGAAGTCCTCTTACTTTTTGTTAACTCCTTTTATGTTTAAGCTGGCAGCATTGCCTAGCTGCATAAAAGGATGATGTCACTGTACCAAAGTAGGTAGAGTTACATTTCAGACATCTGTGAGCTACATATGCAAGTTGTGTTTGTCCTTTGGCTGCAACTGCATGTTATTCTGTCCAGCTCTGGCCAAGCTTTCTCTCCTGGGGGTGGGGGGTGGGGGACATTGAACTGCCACTGGAGGAACAGAAACACTCCAGCAGCACTTAGGAAAGGCATAAGGGCCCTACTTCTCCTTGGCAATGCTACAGCACCTGAGGGCCATTAACACAGTGCTGATCTAACAAGTCCAACAACATCTAAGTGAGCAGAGCATTCAAAGAGACAGAACCAATGCAAGACAGCAAGGCCACCCCTCACGGTGTGGGGCCCTTCCACCAGACATTATGCTTGGATATCAATCTGCTTACTATAGAATCTGATGGGGATGGGTTCTGTTAAGTTGTGGGTGAACATATCACATGACACAGCGATTCTTCAAACAGCTCTTGTTTATTCACAGGCCAGAACAGAACAGAATTGAACTGAAGGGTTCAGCCAGCCTGCTTATATAGAGCTCCACTACATTGCAACTGTAACACTTTCTGTAACTATCCAATCACTGAACGTCACTTTCAATCCCTTAATTGCATATGTGGACCTGAGTGAAAACTATCTACAGTATCCCCCTGCTGGCCAAGGGTGAGAACTTCAGTACATAACAGGTTCAAAAGAGGAGGGGGGACCTTGGATCACAGAACAAGGGGCCTATGTCTGAACATCTGTGCCTCACATATAAAGGACTATTATCCCACTTTGACAGTCATGGCTCCCCCGAAAGTCTAATGTGGCCTGAAAAGAACAAAGAAAAGCAATGTGATGTGGGCAGGGGTGTCAGACTAGACCCAAGGAAACTCTCATTTGAATGGCTACTCAACCACAAAGCCTAACTTGAGCAAGTCTCTATTTTTAACCCAACCTGTCTAACAAGGTAGTTTTGAAGTGGGTGATGGTACCCAAGCATGCAGCCTTCTGCTTTTGGAGAAAACTGGGATAAAAATCTGATAGACAGGTGCAGAATTGGGCCTGTAGGAAATGTATAATATGATCCTTCAGAAGGTTTACAACTGTTGAAGTAGATAAATGCTTAGCAAAACATAGCAGACCTAGAAAAATGTCCCAAGGAGCATTAGCATTCTCTGAAAAGTTGAAAGATATAAAGAGATGGAATACAGTGGTACCTCTGGTTACAAACTTAATTCATTCTGGAGGTCCATTCTTAACCTGAAACTGTTCTAAACCTGAGGTAGCACTTTAGCTAATGGGGCCTCCTGCTGCCACCGTATGATTTCTGTTCTCATCCTGAGGTAAAGCTCTTAACCTGAGGTACTATTTCCGGGTTAGCGGAGTCTGTAACCCAAAGTGTTTGTAACCCGAGGCACCACTGTACTGTAAATGCAAGGTATTTCCTGAAGGGTGGGGAAAACCAAAAATTCATTCCAATCAGGTCAAAGAAGTACTGTAGAATGAAGCCCTGTAAGAGCAATGTGTGAAGAAAAGTTTTTCAGGGTTACCTAATCTGAATTAAAACCACTGGCAGCATGGGAGGATTGGAAGAAATTTAAGAACTATCTACAAAAGCATTGTGATTTGACTGAATGCTGAATAAGATGCTAGACTAAATAACTGAGCACCACTTAACTTAGAAGTTTTTAAGAAAATAAGAAAAACTGTGAAAGTTTAACTCTTTATGAGAACTTTAAGATTATGAAATATCGAAGAGATATAAGAACTTAAATAAGATGATAAATTGCTGACAAAATGTTATAATGATGAAGGTGGGAGCGGGAGATGTGAGGAAGTCCAAAGAAAATGTGAAATAATGTTAAGACGAATGTTATATTGTTTATTACACTTATTCTTATTGTAAAATCCAATAAATTGCTTTAAAAAAAAAAAAATAAAACCACTGGCAGCATGACAGTAGTGGATCATATAAAAAAGCCACACTGGCCATGGTAAAGTTCCACTGCCAAAGGAATGCCTTGCTCAGAAGTTATGATTTGGCAATGTATTTTCTGGCCTTTACGCTTTCTTTTTTAAAAAAAGAAATCCTTTGTTGGTAGGAGAAGAGGGAAGCTTAGCTAGCAAAACAATATTGATTTCACTCATAGACTTGAAACATGATATTTTAGTTTGAAAATCTATCCTTCCTTCAGCTGCAATACTGGTGTCATCTGCAAACTCAGGAACACGTTTCTGAAATGGTGTACTTGAAGTCCTTTATACAGAGCCATACTGTCAGAATTCACTACTGTAGTGGAATAAATTATTGCTGTAGCCGGTCTCCATTTCCCTGAGAGGACTGAAACCTGTGTGAAAATGCACAGAAGCCTTTTACATAGAAAGATAAAGCTTTTAATGGTTTCCCCTGCTATTTTATTGTATATCACCTTGAAATGATTATAGAGGTGAACAACAACAACAACAGCAACAATCTCCACACAGGTTTTAAATACTGTACTGTGAATCAGGGATGAGGAACTCAGCACCTGGTACTGAAAAGTCTTATCTAGATTGGTGCCTCAAAATGTTATTGCACTCCAACTCCCATTGTCCTTGAGTATTTGCTTTCCTGCCTGATGGGAGCTGGAGTCCACAACATCTGGAGTGCAACAGGTTACCCATCCCTGCTGGAAACCATAGCAAGCTATTTTTTACAGAAAAACAACAACAACAATGCCTTCTCTGAAGGCGAAGGTATGTTCAAGACAGAGGACACTGACTTTTGCGCTGCATCTGCACACATTGGATTGATCCAGAACGTGTTATAAAGTTATGCCATTCTTTGCTGAATTTATTGTCCTCTTGGTGCCTCAAATCAGTGGATTTGAGGCACCAAGAGAACAATAAATTCAGCACAGAATGGCATAACTTTATAGAATATATTAAAGATCACTATAAACATTTAAAAACATTAGGAGGATTGATATAGCACTTGTAATTTAAAACGATAAAGGATAAAAATGGAAATGTAATAAGCTAAATAAATGCAATTAGATGCAGCGAAAAAGGAAGGGAAATTTTGGAAGCCATGGGAGGGGTAGAAAGAAGTACTGGGGTTCAGGGAACCCCATAAATGTATTGACATGCATTATGGTTTTAATGTAAACAAGTGTCTGTGTGTGTAAAAAAATGTTGTTTGAAAATTTGAAAAGAAAAATTAAAAAGAAAAAAGAATGCTGATTTGAGATTTGGGACACATACATACATATATATTTATGTATATACATATACATAATTACATATACGTATATACATATACATAATTACATACATAATTATACATAAATATAATTCAGAAGCGAAGTGGTGTTATTTCTGTCTCTATAGCAAGGAAGCTGACATACCATCAATCAAGTATACAAGGCTACATTGATTATTCACTTCAGAATCAAAGTCAGAGACTGAAGAAATAATTGATCCATTGATTTATTGTAATGTATACACTGCCTTGGGACATGGGTGGCACTGTGCGTTAAACCACAGAGCCTAGGACTTGCCGATCAGAAGGTCAGTGGTTCGAATCCCCGCAATGGGGTGAGCTCCCGTTGCTCAGTCCCTGCTACTGCCAACCTAGCAGTTCGAAAGCACGTCAAAGTGCAAGTAGATAAATAGGTACCGCTCCGGCGGGAAGGTAAACGGCGTTTCTGTGCGCTGCTCTGGTTCACCAGAAGTGGCTTTGTCATGCTGGCCACATGACCCGGAAGCTGTACACTGGCTCCCTCGGCCAATAAAGCGAGATGAGCGCCGCAACCCCAGAGTCGGTCACGACTGGACCTAATGGTCAGGGTTACCTTTCCCTTTACCTATACCCTGCCTTTGGTTGCTCCAAAAATATACTGAAAATAGCATCTCTTGCTTAAAAACAGAACAGAAAATAAAGCACAAGAAAGAATATAAATTGGCAGGTGGGTGCCAAGTGAGCCTCTCTGGAGAATATGTTCTAGAGTAGAGGCACAATCAAGGAAAAGGTCCTTTCCCTGGTAACTACCTCCCCCACTCCCATATGATTACAGGGGAAATGGTCTCTCATGTAGATCTCAGAAAGCTTAAACACATGGGAAAATAGGTAGCTATTACACAGGTAAGGTTGACTGACATGCTGTGTTTTTCATAGAGGCAAATAATCTCGCTGCAAAAGAAAGCTGGAACAGAAAGTTGCTGATTTACAGGAGGAAAGGGGGAAAGGCAAAAGCTTGTCTTTTGCTCCAAGCGGAACGGCAGGTATTTAGGAACTTTGCAGGGAAGGAAGCCTATTAAGTAAGCTGTATAATGTTACCCAGTGGGTTCATGAAGACTCCCACTGTTTTGCTTTTCCCCAAAGTTTGGCAGAAGAAATGTGAAAAGTGTGCCTTGGAGTTTCTCCAGCTCTCAACAAAAATTATAAAATGAATAAATGAAAATGGCTGGCTTGCGCTCCAGACAACCCTCCATTCAAGCTGGCTAACCCCAGAGTTGGACCTAAAGCACAGTGTGAAACAGGGGATGCTCTGAGAGGAGAAAGTGGTGCCTGGCTCAGAGCTGCGTTTTCCCTTTTTGCAAAGTTGTAGCAGGAACTTTCAGTCACTGACAGGAACCAGATGCTCCCTAGAGTATGATCTCCCAGACAACATTTTTCCACCACAAGACGGAATGACCTCATGTTATTCCTTTGCTTTTCTGTGTCCCAGAGTGGCAGCATATTAAGGCATTCAGACAACTTTTGAAGTGGTAACAGTAGCAGCCATATGACAGAGTGGAAGGGCTTAAATATTTAAAGTATGTTTACAAATTCCAATTCCAGATTTGTTATCAGTCATAAATAGCTATATCAACCATGGGGTTTAATAGCTTTGAATTTCCGCCTGTTCCAAAGTTGCCAAAGTGAGTATTTTTCCTATCATGAAAACATTTGTCTCATGGCAAAACACAATTTACCAGGCCATACTTTTTGTGTCATGAGCTACTGGGAGAAGCTGCAAGTCATTTGAGGTTTTTCTACAATCAAGGGGTATATAAATTTTATTAAATAAATAAATAAATAAATTATTGTTGTTATTGTTGTTGTTATTAATTCATGTGTTGCCTTATACTCAGAGATCTCAAGGTGACATACATAGTAAATATTGAAAATATACGACATCTAAAAATGATCACAGTAAACAGCCACCACAAAGTACACATTTCCTGCCACAACTCTCTCTCTCTCTCTCTCTCTCTCTCTCTCTCTCTCTCACACACACACACACACACACACACACACAGCGCAATAAAACAGAAAGCTGCTAAAAACCACCCGATATCAACATTCAAATGCTTGAGGTGTATAAAAGGTCTTTAGCCTGAATGTACCTAACAATATAAGCAAGACTCGAATAGGTTTTTAAAAAGTAAGAATATGCATCTAATTCTTATGGACAGAAATTGAAACTCTAACAGCATGAAAGTTTCAGAAGAAATGTGCAGCTCATTACATTGCGCATCAAGTCTTCCACTTCCTTATTATTTGGGTTTCTCGCCTTGAGAATGTCTTAAAACCTGTTTTGAAGTCTTGGAGAAGCTGCTCTCCTAACTAATTGTGGGAAGCAGAGAATGCTGTGCTGCGGTGTTAAGTATAGCCAGAGGACCTGCCATTTCTCCCATAGGAAGGAAGTTAGATTGGCAGGCTTCTACAGGCCATGTTCAAGTGACTGAAGCCGAGTCCAGACAGTTATTCCCCATAGAGCTAGATATTCAGGGTGGGGAGGGCATTACCAACTAGGTTGGCTCATTCATGGTGCCCAGCCTCCATGCTTTGGAGGCAATGTCACACACTTGAAAAATGAAGGTTATGCAAGGGGCTTTTTTGAAGAGGGAACTCACAGGAACTCATTTCTGGCATCTCTCAGGTGGGTGCCATTGCCATTCTAAGAGAACGAGGGATATGTTCATGGTGAGTTCCGGCACCTCTTTTTCTAGAAAAATAGCACTGGATATTCATCATTAAGAATCCACACCTGCTGACATGTATATGCTTAGACACTTTTGTGCAAATGTCATCTTCAACATGTGAAGGACTGATTCAATAAGTGAGCCAGCAGGCAGGATTCAGACTTTTCCCTTCCACACTCACCATTGTAACACAAAGACCACATGCAAAGGGTCTGAATCTTTATGCTAGCAAACCAAACAGAACAGACCGGGAAATGGCCGGCTGTCCCATGCTGTTAAGACTATTACTCCCATCATCCATGACTATCGGTTGGTACTGGCTAGGGCTGATGGGAGTTGTAGTCCAACATCGTATGAAGGGAATAGACTTCACTGTGATAGTCTTTATTGCAACTCTAATCCCATTAAACATTTCCTAGGGATTAATTGCCTCTGATTCTCTACTCGCAAACTCCAAGCTGGGTGAAATTCCCACTTTAGCTATAAACCTGTACAGAATACAGGGGGACATGTGTGTGTGTGTGTGTGCGCGCACACACACACACACACACACACACACAGAATACAAAAGAATGTCTAAAATATTTTTGAAAGGCGACACCAATTAATTATAAAACATGCACCCTAAGAGTTAGGGCTCCAAAATAACAGCTTCTACTTCTGAGCCTCATATGAATTATGGATCACCAGGCTCAGCCCTGCAATTTTCTTCAATAGGAGGGCCTGGAAAACATGGGGCTGGGGAAGAAGATCTAGGAGCATGTATGAAGGGCATCATTGAATAACTTCAGCCAGTTTACACACAAAACATCTGAGACTGGTGGAGGAAGTCTCCCAAGTCAGAAAGAATTACAACATCAGGAAAGCTTGCATCCCAGCACTGGACCTCTGAATTTTAGAAATTAGCCAATATGCTGTCTTCCAGATGTTGTTGGACTTCAGCTCCCATAAACCCCTGCCAGCATGGCCACTGGTCGAGCGTAAGAGCTGGAGGACACCAGGTTGAAGGAATCTGCTGTAAGTTTAACATAAATTTGCTGCTACCGCTCACTGTGCATTCTTTATAAGAACACTTTCTTATTTAACTGCCAATTGTGCAGGTCATTTACCCATTTACTTCTGACAGGAATTTCTAACTCATAAAGCAGGAATGTTTATTTTAGACTGCGTGTCTCACAGCTTCTTGAAGCTAGATAACATCCACTCCCCCCTCCTCCCTTCAAGGAACACAACATGCCCCGCTGACAGTTTCTGCATCTGTAAATCTGTTAAACAAACAAAGCCTGCTTCTTATACAGCCTAAAATCTCTGGAAGTGGAAAGAAACACTAGCTTTCCCCATTTAAAAACTAGGACACAGGGAAATATATGCATGTTAACCAACAGCATGTCACAACAAAACTGATTTTCCTCCACAGTCCAAAGTACAGGATCCAAAATAAATAAGTTATCTTACCAGTCAACATACATAACCACCAAATCCTCTTGATCAGCATACGATTCCAATGCAGACTTCAACAGGCGTACTTTCTGACCTCCTCCGATAGAGTTTAGAATATCTCCTCCTTTCCACTCTTCGCCTTTACCCAGCACCTAAGATAAATAATAAAGGGTCTTGAGCAGAGTGTGCTGTCACAACCTGGACCGTTATTGATCAGCATTGAGATAGTATTTGGTCTTCATCCCATAAATTAGTGTCAGCTCCAGGGGGACTGGCTAATGTGTCCTCTGATGGGCTTCTTCCTCTGCCAGTAGGTCTTGGTATCTCCTGGTATTCTCCTGATGGACATCTGCTACAACTGCAGACATCTCCAAGCAAAAACACAAACAACTGTCAATGGCAAAAGCCACTGACTAGGGCAGTCCATAACTCCAACTTGCTTGTTACAGGTACCAGAGAATGCATTCACTCAGTGAACTGGCTGTTTGCCCATCAATGGATTTGACTTTGGCGGGGGGGGGGGGGGACCAATACCTGCTGCTGGAACTAAAGGCACTGGTTGCAGTAAATCACCACAAGCCCTACTGTCAGCAGAGGAGGCTGTTAGTGGCGTTGCTTCTGTCTCCTGCCTTTTTGGCACTGACCCATGACCCATGAGTCTTCTTAGTGGTAGTTCACCATTGGTGGAATGCCTCCCTGGTGAGCTATGTCTTTCTCCCCCTTATCAACTTTCCAGAGAAATATAAAGACATTCCTGTTTACCCAGGCATTTGACAGCTGATGGAACTTCAAAATTAGTGACTGTGAGGGTCTGTGGTAGCTTTTTAATGTTTTTAGGTGTTTTAGATGTTTTTAAAGGTAAAGGACCCCTGACAGTTAAGTCCAGTCGCGAACGACTCTGGGGTTGAGGTGCTCATCTTGCTTTACTGGCCGAGGGAGCCGGCGTTTGTCCGCAGACAGTTTTTCCAGGTCATGCGGCCAGCATGACTAAGCCACTTCTGGTGAAACTAGAGCAGCACACGGAAATACCGTTTACCTTCCCGCCAGAGCGGTACCTATTTATCTGCTTGCACTTTGATGTGATTTTGAACTGCTAGGTTGGCAGGAGCTGGGACTGAGCAATGGGAGCTCACCCCGTCGTGGGGATTCGAACCGCCGACTTTCCAATGGGCAAGCCCAAGAGGCCCAGTGGTTTAGACCACAGCACCACCCGCGTCCCCCTTAGATGTTTTAAGGTGGTATTTAATTGGATTTAAATAGGGGTTTTTATTTCAAATTGAATTGTTTGCCACCCTGGCCTCCTTTGGGAAAAAGAGTGAGGTACAAACACAATCAATCAATAAACTGCACAAGACAGAGCTGCAAGTGGATTATGGAGGGCTAGTAAAAAGTCAGCTATCATTTTATCAGCCAGTTTCTCAGGTCTTATGGGGCCTGTCAAATGCTCAACCCTTTCTAAATCAGACTTTTTCTTAAATATGATTACTGTTGTCCTATCTAGTGGATTAGAGGGGGGGGAATCCTCAATTCACTTCCAAAGAAGAAACACTGTTTCCCTATCACATTTTAATTCTCAGTGCATTTCCTGTACGTCAATGAGTAGAAAAGAAACTTATTTTGAAGTCAACATGTTTAGGCTGAAAACAAGTTACAACAAAGCTCAACACACACCTCCCATGTCTTGCAACAGTTTAGACATATTAAAGACAGGATTTCACTGCCCATAAATTTTCCATGTCCCAAGCAGTCCTGAGCACTATGACATCACTCTAGAAATATGAGAGGCGATTCCTAAGCAAACAGTAACCCAGCAATTACTTTCCACCACATAAGTCGCTCAAAGCACCAACTTGCTGAGAAAGAGAGGGGAAAGCTTTTGATTCTTAAACTAGATAAGTAGAGTATTTCCAAGGATAAATCACAACTGGACTAGGACACTGTGGACAATGGAGACAAACACCACTAATCCGCATGTTGGAGGAGTTTCATTGGGCAGTGGTAATTGTAAAGTTTTGCCTCATTTGCAAAAAGGAATCCTGCACTGCTTGTGTTTCATTCCTGGCCATCACAGTGGGATAAACATTCATGCGATCACAGCTAAAGCACCTTCATAGTGTTGAGGTGCCAGAACAGATGGTGCATTCAGGATGGAATAGTATTTGTTTAGTTGGTTGGCCGGGATTTCTTTTTAATCTATTTTAGCTGAAGAAAAGGGATAAAGGCTCTGAGAACTGAATTAAGAGAACTGCGTGTTGCCTACACCAGCTTCTTCCTTCCATGCACAAAATAAATTGTGCATGTATAGGAAATGTCCACACAACTGGAAATTACCTTTTTGGGGGTTGCTGAATCCTGATTATGTGGAAAGACCTTACATACACAAAAGTTCTTAGCCCTGTTCACAAAACAACATGCGGAGCCTGATTGTGATGCCAGGCATGACCCAGCTTCTTTGTCACATATTAAGTAGCAAGCAAATACTGATGGTTTTAAAAAGGGCTTTTAAAAGGAGGCAGGGCCATAGCTCAGTGGTACAATAAGTCTCAGGTTCAATCTCTGGTTGGGCTGGGATTAAAATCCTATAGCTGTTGCCAGTCAGTGTAGACTGCATTGAATTAGATGGACCATAGGACTGACACGGTGAAATGCAGTTTCCTAAATTTCCTACATTCACTGGCAGAGTACAGGCATTGCATGCAGAAAGTTCAAAGTTCAGTCACTAATGTCTCCAAGTAGGAGTGAGAAAATCTCCTGTCCAAAACCCCTGAGAGCTGCTACTGGTCAGTGTAGCAATACTAAACTTAGATTAGCCAGTAATCTGACTCAGTACATGTCATATCTCTATGCCTTGCAGTCAGGCCCGTGGGAATCTGCTAAGCAAAATATTTTTTATTGACCTCCATTGCTCTGGACCTCTCTGATAGGAAATTCCCTTTAAAGTTGAAGTGCTAAGTCCTTTACAGCCTATTTCAGTTATCAGTGTTTTCCTACAGAACCAAGTGGAGGAGCACACATTCCTCGCAGAAGTAACTTTTTTAAAGCAGCAGTTGGGATAAGGCCAAAAATAAGGAGGAGATATAAATTCCAAGAAATGGGTGCATTTTATTCTGAAGATGCAGAATATAAGGGGGATGCTTTCGGATGAAAATAGTTACCAAGCATAAGCATAAGTTAACTGGAAAGGAAAAGAGATAATATTTACACAGACTGTGGATAAAACCTTGCCAGCCCTTAAATCTATAAGCCTGTGGAATAGCCTCCTGAGCTAAGTAGAAAACTCCACCATCTGGAATATTAAGAGCTAGACTAGGTGAAAGATTACTAAGCCTACAGTAGGGAGTAATTCTGAATTGGCAAAGGTATGCAGCAAATGACCGAAGTGGTATTTTCCATGACTTCATTCTACAGTGGTTTATTTTATGAGTGTGTGTGTGTGAATTCACACACAGAGAGAAACTATTTTCCATATTTTGAAAGAGGAGGAGGGTACACAATACCTTTACAGTGTAGTTGAAATGCTTTGCTGATTGCATGAATCTGTGAAAGCCATCCGTTTCCTTTGTCGCAACAGTTAGAATTAGTAGCTTATCTAGAAAAAAGGGGGAAAGAGAGAGAGAGAGAGGTGTGAGTTCTTCACAGATGAAATAACAACAACAATTAATGGATTTCTAGCCTGCCTTATTAGGATATGACATATTGGAAACATTGGACTGCCCAATTCAATATACGGCAGCTTCATACATGGCATGCATATGGCATGCATAAAAAGTAGAGCTAATTTTCTTCTGATTTACAAATAAATATTTTTCCCTTCTCACCTGGAGCCAGTTATTGCCATAGGCAATGAGCAAGGTAGCTATTTACAAGTGACTACCATCTTTCCCTTTTGTGAGAACGGCCGCAACCCTGTGGTACAGTATCTGCTTTGCAGAAAGTACCATGTTCAATCCCTGGCATCCGCAGGTGGCGCTGAGAGTTCCCTGCCTGAAACTCCGGAAAGCTGCAGCCAGTCAGTGTAGACAGCACTGAGCTACTTGGAGCAATGATCTGATTTGGTATAAGGTAGCTTTCTGTGTTCCAAATTAAACCTATTCAAAGCAGTCGAGGAAGCCAAGCTTGTGTCTTTCTTTTGCCCTGTAAAGTGGCATATAAACACTAGGAATTATAGAGGGAAATTCACTGGGGAGCTCAGAGCAGTGCAGAAACCTAATCACTACCACCCTGTGTGGTAGGTTAGGCTGACAGATAAACCCTTGGCCACTCAGGAAGCTCAGCTGAACAGGAGTTTGAAATTGAATTGCCTACTAACCACTGCACCACATTGGCTCTGTGTTACACCATTTACCGTACTTTCTCTTTGATGCAAACTGGATACAATAGAACTAATCATTTCAACAGCTCACAAGAGAAAGCGCAGCCATTCAAGCTCATGAACAACTTTCCCTTTAAATACTGTACTGAAAAGCAAGTTGTCAAAACCACATGGCAAGAAGGGGCCCTGAGGCCCCTGAATGATGGTTTTGGAAATAAAGTTGTCTAAATGAATGTCTGTGTCCTATTATTCAGGATGCAAGGAGTCACAAGCCCAGGCCAGAATCATTAATTTGCTATCCCTAATGTGCCACTGCTGACATAAAGATTTGGAAATGAAGCCATTTGGAAACCCTTCAAACTCATGGAATATTATACATTTTCAATAAGCTAGATTTTATAGCGCAAAAGAGAAAATCCAGTTTGTGCAATAAAAGGCTGTTGTTTCAAGCTATTATGTCACCAGCTTGAACATTATTGGGGATTAGTTAGTTAAAAATGCATCTCTGTTTTCAAGCAGTATTTTAAGATAGGATTGCTACTAATAGTGGGTATATTTCAGCAGCAGGAACAAATTAGGTTCACAACAGCATCCTATAAACATGATAAGAAAAATCGGTATTCCGTCTAACAGATATGGCTGGAAGTTACAAAGCAGATATTGGCAGTTTTCCCATATCTTTCCCTTGTCCTCTTATAGGCTCTGAGAAGGCTGAGCAAAAAAAAAGTAGCAACTATGAGAAATAAACTTGCAACCAACCCACCGCCCCCCTTTGATTTATGGAGCTTTTGAAAAGAAAGCACCAGTAATATACTGGAAAATGTGATCATAGAAGACTAAGTAAGCCAAATGAATTCCTTATTACATTTCCCTGTGTGAACTATTTTGATTTGAGAGCAATTTCAGGTTTGGATTTGGGAAGCTATACCGTATTTTACAGCTACACTTGCCAGCGAGTTGGAACAAATGTCAAGACGCTTTATAATCACTCCAAAGGAAATGATCATAGGCATAGCAGCCAACACATAAACACTCAGTAGGCACCTCTTGTGACAGAGATGGGGAAACTGTGGCCTTCCAGATACAGTGGTACCTCGGGTTAAGTACTTAATTCATTCCGGAGGTTTGTTCTTAACCTGAAACTGTTCTTAACCTGAAGCACCACATTAGCTAATGGAGCCTCCTGCTGCCCGATTTCTGTTCTTATCCTGAAGCAAAGTTCTTAACCTGAAGCACTATTTCTGGGTTAGCGGAGTGTGTAACCTGAAGCGTATGTAACCTGCAGCGTATGTAACCCGAGGTACCACTGTATTGCTAGATGGACAGAATCAGACACACCCTCACATGAGACCTAGTTCATCCCAGAAACCGTGCAGTGAGGGATTATTTACAAGTTCAAGGGTCACTCCCATGACCTGCTGTATATACAATCTGCATTTTGAAGGCACGTTGTGAAACCAGACAATTTTAAAATATAACAAATCTTTCTGAGAGATCACTGGTGCTTAGTGATAGAATTCATCTCTTCATGGTTAAAGAAAGCTCACAAAACCCAAGGAATCTCGCATCAGAAGGAAGGCATTTTGTACAATTTCATATTTGTGTGAAGGTTATTACCTCTCAGTAGGTTCATTTCAGCTTTAAAGCTAATAAAATGTTTATGTTACAGTACTTCAGCTGTCATCGACCAGCTCTATTATGTAGCAGAGAATGTTCATGAATACACAGTTCTAAACTTTGGAAGAAATTATTCTGAGGGTGCTTAAAAACTGAATGAGTTTACAGGAACTCTCTCCTTAGACAGATACAGAGCAGACAGAAAATGCCGTCATCCCATCTATTATGTGTCTGGAATAACACTGCAATAAAGAATTAAGTTGCAGTTACATTCCCTCTCCCAAAGTGCATTACTAACCCTCTGAAACAGGGAACTGGTTCTCCAAATAAGCTGTAGAAAAAACACTTTGCAAATTTCATGTTCCTCATCCATGGACTTCCTTTATTTTCATACTGACTTTCCAGCACACAATTCTAACTGCAACTAATACCATTAAAGGCAGAGCAAAATACAGAGTGTGCTTTTCTTTACAAATATGGAAGCAAGCTGATATTTGCAGTTTTCTCCCAGCCTGGAATTTGATAAATCTCGATGGCATCCCTGTAGCTTTTTCCAAACATTTACCATGTGTGTGTAGACAGGAACTATACCAAGCAGAAAAGCCATAATTTAATAAATAATCAACCATTTTGCCTGATTTGGGCACAGCAAAACTCTATACCTTTATGGAAAAAACTCCTGCTTCTGTTCCTAACCAAAACAAGGCTCTTCCAACATTTGATTCTAATGTATCACCACTCAGTCCTTGGGGCTAACAAAGCATTGTTCCATATGCAACGCTCTTCCATCACATAAGGGAGAGATGGGGAGCCTATGGTTGAAGGTTGCATTGGCCTAATTTCATGCAGGTGCCGAGAACCCAGAAAAAAAGGAGAGAAGATGAGAGGATGATCAAGCAATCTCTCACATATTGTGCATTTTTAAGGCATATTTACTTAGGCCTTTCACGGGTGCTGTAGACTGGTATCGGTGGCACCACATTGGTGACCCCTGTAAGGGCTTCCCCCAGTCACAGCCAAATTCCAAAGAAAACAGATTCTTCCCTAATAGTCCATTTCTCAAAATGTTTAAAGAAGTTTTATGTGGTTCTGTACATTCGCAACTCAAATTCATTTTTTTAAAAAATGATAATCTAAATGGAAAAAAAACAATGATAAAATCTGACTGATTTATTCCAATCTAATTTTCATTTTATTTAAGAAAGACAGACAACTGGCAACATTTTCCTTAATTATGGCTTGTTCAAAGGAAGACCTTTATCCTTCCCTTTGATGACATTTCCATTGACATGGAAGCTGAAAGCAGAAGCATGTCCCTGAAATAAATACAAGATGTGACTCATTTATTCTGTTTAGAACTGGCAATTTGTATGCCCACAGAACTTCGAATTACAAAGCTCTCCCTACTGCAGATTTAGGGATGAGAGAAGATTAGCCAGATGCTTTACTTCTGCATTCCCTACCCCCAACATATTCACTTTCTAGAAACAGGAAGACTGATACTGTCATGGAAAAGCATCTCTCCCAGGGAAACACACTTGCACTCTGAGATGACACATGTCTGTAATGGTTGTACTATATCTATATGTATTTACTGCTCATTTGAATTCACTGCTTCAGATTTCCATGCTTGAGGTAGGAAGGAACTGACAACCCCGAGGATTCATGTTCATTGGACTATTGATTTAATTTTCCTTTGTACTATGCCTTATTTGCTTGATTTATTTCACTGAGGTGCTGCTTGAATTTGCAGATTGTTCTGGTCTGTTGCATTCATTTCTGCCTAAAAGATCCTTTGAGTCTGGTATGCTATTTGTATTTCGGTCCCACCCACAAAAGGGACGCAGGTGGCACTGTGGTCTAAACCACTGAGCCTCTTGGGCTTGCTGATCAGAAGGTCGGCAGTTCGAATCCGGGTGAGTTCCCATTGCTCTGTCCCAGTTTCTGCCAACCTAGCAGTTCAAAAGTATACCAGTGCAAGTAAATAAATAGGTACCCTTGCGGCAGGAAGGTAAATGGCATTTCTGTGTGCTCTGGCTTCCGTCACTGTGTTCCATGTGCCAGAAGCAGTTTAGTCATGCTGGCCACATGCCCTGGAAAGCTGTCTGCGGACAAACGCCGGCTCCTTCAGCCTGAAAGTGAGATGAGCGCCACACCCCATAGTTGTCTTTGACTGGACTTAACCATCCAGGGGTCCTTTAGCTTTAACCCATCCACAAAGCAGTATGATCACAAATTACACGACATCTTTCTCAGCTCTGAAGGTTGAATTGTACTTAGCTTGAAACTTGGGTGCACCCTATCATTAAAATTTGCTTCATACAGATTAAGCCTGGTTGACACATCACACTAAACCAAACTATGGCTTAACATGCCCTCACAAGCTCTGGAAGAAGAAATCGTTGCTGCTTTGCCTCGGTCCAGTATATCCGAAGGCACATCTCCACCCCTATCATTCTACCCGGACACTGAGGTCCAGCACCGAGGGCCTTCTGGCGGTTCCCTCACTGCGAGAAGCCAAGTTACAGGGAACCAGGCAGAGGGCCTTCTCAGTAGTGGCGCCCTCCCTGTGGAATGCCCTCCCACCAAACGTCAAAGAGAACAACAACAACCAGACTTTTAGAAGGTATCTGAAGGCAGCCCTGTTTAGGGAAGCGTTTAATGATTGATGTATTATGGTATTTTAATATTTTTTTGGAAGCCGCCCAGAGTGGCTGAGGAAGCCCAGCCAGATGGGCGGGGTATAAATTATTATTATTATTATTATTATTATTATTAGGCCATTCTGCTGCTGTGAGGTGCTAAACCATGGTTTGATTTAGCAAGTCTTTAGAATACAGCTCTCCCAGACAAACCATGAACTGCAAACCATAGGTTCAGGCAGCGTGCTAAGGGTGTTCCGGTTCAGGCAGCATGCTAAGTCAAGCTATGGTTTAGCGCAGGACAGTGTAACAGCAGATTGACCAGAAGAGAAGGAAAGTTGCCATATTTCAGAAAGTGAAAATCCAGACACAAAAGTTGTTGAGCTATGGGTTGCCATAGGTCTGGATTTTCCTGGACATTTAAGCAATTTCTGCATGGACGCTGCTCCTGAAGGCTGAACCAGGCCTAAAAGATGGCCATAAATTTATCTGTAGCAGGGGAAGGGTAATGGTTTAGCAGCAATGCATACACTGCATGGTCTGGCTTGCATAAAGTCTTTGTTTCATTCCATGCCATTTCCAGTTAAAAGGCCCTCTGGTAGCAGAGCTGTGAAATATATCTTTCTACATTCCTCTGTGGATGCAAAGAGAGGATTCCGCTTCAAGTCTGGCTCAGGATTTTAATTTTATGTGCCGTTAAATCCAGAGCAATTCTGGCAGGCAGCCAAGTACTGATTCTTGAATGGTGCAGCGGCTAAACTGAATTTAAAGTTCATAAGTTAGGATCACACTCCATATCTGCATGCAATGTGAGGTCACTTTTTGGAAGGCAACCAGGAAAGCCAATATGCCTCATGGTATTTCATATATATCAAGCTAAATAATCAGGATTTTAATAAAAGACAGATTTAATATATCGTGGGTATTGCTTTTCTTACTATTTAAAGGGGGTGGGGAGTGAACATTTGCTTTTTCTTTAGCATGAATCCCATCTAGGTTCACTTTTGCCTGTGTATTTCATGGAATATCATGTTACATATTTGTACAGTCGAACCTTGGGTTGCGGACGTAATCCACGACGGAGGCACGTCCACAACCCGCAGCGTTCGTAACCTGCAGCGCTGCGTCTGCGTGATGCGATTTGGCGCTTCTGCCATGCCACTCTCCAGGCCACAGCCCTCAGTGGCCAGTTCTGTGTCCTCCTTGAGTGTCTACATTGGCTCCCAGTATGTTTCCAAGCACAATTCAAAGTGTTGGTGCTGACCTAAACGGCCTCGCCCCAGTATACCTGAAGGAATGTCTCCACCCCCATTGTTCAGCCCAGACACTGAGGTCCAGCTCTGAGGGCCTTCTGGCAGTTCCCTCACTGCGAGATATGAGCTTACAGGAAACCAGGCAGAGGGCCTTCTTGGTAGTGGCACCCGCCATGTGGAAAACCCTCCCATCAGATGTCAAGGAAGTGAACAACTATCTGACTTTTAGAAGACATCTGAAGGCAGCCCTGTTTAGGGAAGTTTGTAATGTTTGATGTTTTATTCTGTTTTTAATATTTTGTTGGAAGCCGCCCAGAGTGGCTGGGGAAACCGGGTCAGATGGGCAGGGTATGTATGTATGTATGTATGTATAAATAAATAAATAAATTATTATTATTATTATTATTATTATTATTATTATTATTATTATGCTTGGGTGCAATGTGTCCTAGAGCTGTAATCATGCTTTTTGCTTGCCTGTATGGAAGACTGAGAGTTTTGTGTATGCAGGTGTGTGTGTGTGTGTGTGTGTGTGTGTGTGTGTGTGTGTGGAAACACCAGGCATTTCTATGGATGCAAAGTAACCCACTGCAAAAATGTAAAGTCACTCTTTTTTTTGCTCCACCCACTATGCACCTCTGGCATGAGGCCACACTGGAAGAGAATGAGGCCCCTGTTGAAAAGGGGTTTCAGCCACCGATGCAGAGCAAGCCTAAATTTGGGTAATTTTTGCAAATCACATACTGAGCAAGGTGCTTAAGGATTTGCCCAAAAGTGCACAGGCCTATTAAGAACTAACAGACATGCCACCATGTCTTTTAGTGGAGAAAATGGGAAGGAATGCAAAACAGACCTTACATGGTCATCCCGCAGTCAGTACTTTCATGGGTTTATGTGTTCATAAACATGCAAGTTGTTTACTAAGATCTGTCTACGCGTATATAGAAAGACTGACGAATGTGAGCTACTTCTGCACTGACTAACAAATGAAACAGAAAATGTTCAAATCAAATGCAGGGCTCATAAGGCTGAGCATGGAAAAACACTCTACCAGAACATATTCTTTCCCTGGCAGGAATCTGAAGCCAACGGTGTATATATTTATGCTCCTAAGTTATCAAAGGCCAAATATGGTGCCTTCTTTCTTCTCTGTCCTGAAACCTGCCTAGAATCCTATAACTCATCCCACATATCTAGTATGGAGTGGTGATAGCTTATTCAGGACTATACCTTTGGATATGAATACATTAGAAAAGAGACAAGGCTGTTTATAATGCCTTGGAATCCAACATATAGGTAAAATGGAAAGGGGAAATCAGGTTCATTACCTTGAGCTTCTTTGAGGAAAAGTGGGATATATTGTAAAAATGAATGACTACTACATTACAATTCAAATTTGTTATAACATAACATAAAATGTGGCTGTGTTTTATTTTAGGACAGAATTATAGTGACCACTAGGTCTATCTTGCATTTAAAGCACCATTATACCACTTTGAACAAACAGCGCTTGCCACAAAATAATCCTGGGATTTTCAGAGTGCTGAGAGTTGTTTGGCGACCCCTATCCCATTCACAGAGCTACAATTCCTGGTTTAACAATCAATTCCTCTTCCCAGGAAACTCTGGAAACAGTAGCTCCATGAGGAAAGTAGGGGTCTCCTAACAACTCTCAGCATCCTTAGCAAACTGCAGTTCCTTTTAATTTTTTGTGGGGAGCCATGACTTGTGCCATAGTGCTTTAAACTTATGGTGCACAGATGGCCTCAGTTGTGGGAGACCTCTAAGTTAGTCATTCTTAGATTTACACAAGGAAGGCCACGTCTCTGCAGTACAATGATTTAACTATTTTGTTTCGTGTTAAACATGTGGATCACTGATGTTAGACAAGCTTTAAATCTTTCAGGATTTTAAATCAAGCCAGCTTAACAAGGAGCATATTATCTGAAAAATGTACATTTTAGCAGCTTACTGGGTTGGAAATAAATTGCTGGCACACAGCTGCATTCCAAATATTAAAATATGACCTTCAGTTTCCTACCCACTCCCATGTTTACAGAACTGCCTTGTGAAGAGTGAGTCCAAAAAGGTGGGCAAGAAATTAATTTGGGTTTGTACCCAATGGGTTGTGTGCATGGGATACAGCTCACACAACTGATTTCTCTTTTCCCCATCTCTCCCTATCACCATGGCACTATCCCAAAATCTTCAGAGGGTTGATGAGGGGGTTCCCCCTGAGAATAAGGCGTTGTGTCACATGAGGCTGCCATGGAAGGGGACAGTTGACTGAAGAGGTTTGCAGCAAAATCCTTTCAACCATATTCAGGTGATTCCTCTCTCCCACCTCAGACAGGTTTTCTTTTGGGAAGGGGTACAAGAGGAAGAAAAAGATGGATTGAATGAGTTGGCTTGCAATTGTACAACCAATGGATGCAACCTTTGATCATTAATAATAAGTAACATACAGAATAAACACACTCCTACCCAGTTCGTGTATTTTGCTGGGGCCCAGATCTAGGATAAGAATTGAAGGAACAATTCCTTCGCCCTTTTCAAAGCAAGCAAGATGTGATGCAGGGACCACAATCATAGACACTAAAGCCTATTTTGGGAAAAGCGGAGATTTTATGAATTAGACCTAAGCAAATGTAATAATCAAGGCACATGCACACCCATACCATTTCCATGCAATGCAGATCCTCTGCCAGAAATTGTTTATTTATTTATCACATTTATAGATCGCCCTGCATCCAAAGATCACAAACACAAACTACATAAAAACAACAAAACAAAAAATACAAGCCAATACACTGCACAGACACATTTAAAAGGCCATAGTATTGTGCATGTGAACTGCCATCCAAAAGAGAAACGTCTGTGGGGCATGCGTTTACATCTGTAAAGCAATACTAAGAACTCATTCCATTTGCATACCTAGAGGACAAATCATGTCCTCATCATGGAGGGCATGCATTGCAGAGAGTTCACCAAGACCGACCTCACCATTTGCATGGGTGGGATCGTTTGGATAGCCAATTGGGTCCCTCGGTTGCTGAGGTAATTCTGGCCAATGGGGTTGAGACAATTTGAAGCCGGGGGACCTACTTATACCGCTGCATGTTGCCTCTTAGCGCCTCGTGCATCGGATCACCTGCCCACTCTCCCTATATTTAGGGTCTTGCTATGCCATTGTGGGTCATCTGCTTTTTCCCATTTGGTTGATTGGCTGGTGCCACTTGAGTTTCTCCTGCCGCGTAGCAAATCGTCACAACTTTGTAAGGTTTGGTGGTTAGACATTGGTTCAAGGTGTGGTGGAGGGGAGATTGTCACACCTGCCACTCCCAATGTGTGATAGGGTATTCCGTTAAATGAATCCAGGTGCTCACCATGCTTTTGTCCGATCCCCTTCCAGGGGTTACGGCCACGCCAGAGCACCTGGGAGCATTTTGGGGTGAGGTTGTGTCTGTGGTAGGACCAATGTTCCCCCAGTATGTTTACCCTTATTGACTTCTGCCAGTGTCCAGTTGTCAGTGCTGCCCTGCTGGAGATGTAGGTGCAGCTAGTCAAACTAATGCCTAAGCAAACCACTCACATTCTGTAATCAATAAAGTTGTGGCCAAAATTATGCCAATAATCTTAAACTAATACAGTGGTACCTCAGGTTAAGTACTTAATTCGTTCCGGAGGTCCGTTCTTAACCTGAAGCACCACTTTAGCTAATGGGGCCTCCCGCTGCCGCTGTGCCGCAGCTGCACGATTTCTGTTCTTATCCTGAAGCAAAGTTCTTAACCTGGAGCACTATTTCTGGGTTAGTGGAGTCTGTAACCTGAAGCATATGTAACCTGAGGCGTATGTAACCCGAGGTACCACTGTATTGGTGACAACTGTGTCTTTCTTTGGGAGGTCTTCACATGCAATGAATGTTTCAAGTAACGGACGAAACAGCTTCTGCTCTACTCAGAGCCAATGCAGCGCCAGCATTGCAAGCTATCAGTTACACGTATGCTCAAGCACTAATCTTAATTCTTCTGGGGTGCAACATCCGAGGCAATAGATAATTTTAGATAAGCACATCATTTGCTGCTACTGCTTATTGCAGTTGCAGCTCCACATTGTATCAATGAAACATCTACTGTACGGCTGAGAAAGTTCAATCCCGGGTGCTGAAAGTGGCCCTCCAAAAATCATTATCTGGCCCTTGGGATTCTCCCCATGTCACATCCTTTTCCAGCCTTGCTCTGCGCTCTTTTTGAATGCTTTTCCCTAGCTGGAATAAGTCTTTGAACTGAGATCATGCCTCTTATTTTCCTGGATGCCTGAAAATTCAGTTTGACTTTTGTGTGGCTGTAATGTAGCCTACTAGAAAAAGAAAAGAGGTAATGAGGCACATCTGTTGTGCCACCCACTTCTGCCTCTGGGTTTGCTGACCACTGTCATGCTACCACTGCCATGACCGCAAAGTTTGCCACGAGGAAATGGAGACCTCCGGCTGAAAAAGGTTTCCCACCTTTTAGTTACAGTGTAAGTGGTGAACATCCTTGAAATGTGGGTTGATATGATTAATGGTTATCCCTGATATAGCTTCCAAAGCTAGCTCAAATACCACGCACATGCCAGCATTGGCACAACAGTTCTTTGTATTGGCTCTGCATTGATCAGAAGCATGACCGGAAACACCCAAAATTATCAGTGTCAGGCACTTAGCATCAATTATATTCTGCAGCTAGCATTGGAGACAAATAGCTCCAAAAGGAGCGAGAGGCCTTGCCAAACCACGTCTTGCCTTCCCTTTCCCCGCTTAGGCATGCTGAAGTCATGGTGCTGAGTTAAAGTAAATAAGCTACAGTTCTCTGGTGAACACTGCAATTACACACTGGCAATTTAGAGCCCACATATATTGCATCATAAGCCCGGTACATACTACCCCGACAGGAAATTGAATAAATCCATGTATGCAATAGCCAAATGCGTGTTTTCATAACCTTTTGTGCTTTCGAAAGCTACATCCGTAAAGTCGCAAAAATACCATACAATGTAAGGCTATTATATGGAGTCAGACTACTGACCCATCTAGCCAGTGTTGGGTGCCCTGACTGGCAGCGGGTTTCCAAGGACTAAGCTTTGTGAATCCTTTTAACTGAAGATGCCAGGACTGGACCTGTGACCTTCTACATGCAAGCCTTATATTTTACCTTGTGAGCTCCCATAACTAAATCCGAAGCCAGATATTTCAGTAACATTTCCAAGCACAGAAAAATGAACCACCAGGAAATTACTGGTTTGGCCCAAGTGTCTGTTCGGGTCTGGAGGGGGTGGATAAGACTGAAACTGTCAGACAACCAGTTCCAGTACCAACACATGGTTTGTTTGGCCTAGTGAGGTACAAAGACCTTGACTTCAACTTTGCCGCCTCTGCTCAGAAGCCAACAGAACAAGACTAACATCGCTGCTGCATTCTTAGTTTAACATACTGTTCTGTGTTTGTTTTTTAAACAATCAATACGACTACAGTTTCAGCAACTGGCATCGCTTTTACAAAGTGAGAAGAGTTTACTGGCACAGAAAGCTTTGTGCCCTCAAGGTATTTTCTTCTCCTTTTTACAGGGCCAGCTGTTTAAACAGCAGCTGTGAAGCAAGATCCCCAGAACACTTCAAATTACTCTTTTAGCACCCAGTTTATTGACTTTTGACCGGGAGTATTTTTGTCTGCTTTCACATTGATACTTGATCACTCACCCAGCCAGACTTTTTCCTTTTCACTCTCTTCCTCGTCTCTCTCACTTCACTCTAATGTCACACATATTGGCTAAATCATAGTTAAGATGTGAATGGAGCACTCACAGAATCATGCAGCAACCAGATGCATAAGAAGCCACCTCAGACCTTAGTCAGAACATTGATCCATTGAGCCCAGTATTGTCTACACAGACTGGCAGCACCCCTTCACAGTTTCAGGAGTCTTTCCCCTGGAGAACCTGGGACCTACCACTGAGTTATTATAGATGCAGATCTATGGAAGCAGTAACTTTTGAAGAATACAAAAGCACTACAGTTCTCCTGTATATCAGTGTGTTGGTGGTGTATTAGAAGTGCAAAGGTTTTTTCTTCCTATAGTAGATGACATAAAAGGGGTCTCTTCTCGCATGCTCCCTGCAGCTTGGAAACCACTTCTGAGCTCCAGGAGTGTTATATATTAATTCAATCTCAATCTCAAACCTTTACTGGCATATAGACAAAATTCCAAAAGGTTCAGTACGATAAAGTCACTCCGCAAAATCTGCATCTAACAATTAAAATACTGTGGTATAACATTCACAAATGTGCATTAATAAAACACCTACGTAAGTGGGATTGGCAATGTGTTATGGCCCAATCCATGCCATCCATGCTCTTTGTACATGCTTTTGGACCAGAGTTTAAAACCCCACTCATCTATGAAGCTTGGACCAATCACTGTCTATCAGCCAAACCTACCTCACAGAGTTGTTGTAAATATAAAAGGGAGAGAGACAGCTACTTGGAGGACAGTTAAGATATAGATGTAAAATAATAAAATCACACTAACCAATCTGTCTGCCAACTACTGCCATCTGTAGGGCAATAGGCCCTTCCTATGACTTATTCATGCCACTCATATTGTCAAAGTTCTGGTGAATCTACATGGTTTAATTGTATGCTGTGCTCTTTGCTTATATTTTGGTAAATTGTCTCACTGTTGTTGTTAGCCACCTTGAGTACAGGAAAAGTAAGCTACAAAATACTTTAATTAATAGTTACCTAAATGAAAATGGGCTGTTTTCAGTTACAAATTGCCACATTACCACAGTTGCAAAACAAAATAAGACATTCTTAGTCATATTAAATTGGCTCATGTTCTGCTGACTTTTAAAGTGTCCAGTATTAAACATTTACCTAACAAATTCTACTTTTAAAAAAGAGAGAGCTGCACACATATTCTATACTTGTTCCAACTCTATTATGAATATTCAAAGCCATTTAAAATGCAATGAACACAAAAAACCAATGTAGGTATTTTATAGAAGTGGCAATTATAGTTTTCTGGAAGAAGAAGGAAAACTAAGAGCCTGGTGTGCATCCAGTCAAGAATCTAAGTCTCTGGAATATAATAGGACTGTTAGTTTAGGTTCACATGCTTCAGGAAAACTTTTTGTGGGTCAGATTGGCGCTTGTGCAAGCAACTAGAATAGATGACTGAATTTTGCCATTTCAAAGAGGCAGAATGCAAATCTACTGAAGACACACCAGCTTTCAAGTTCCACTCAATTTTGATCATGTCGAGAGACAGGTATAAGAGACAGCAAGAGAGAAGGAGGTGTAGCTATGCATATAAGTGCGGTTTTATCAATAACCACAAATTATTCCATGTCAGAAATAGATGTGAAGTTTACAAAGGAGGCTTTGTAACTCAGTTTTTGCTCTGTTTCTGAGTAGCTTTTCAGGACCAATAAGGTCTCTTCTAACAAACTCTAGCTTTCATAGACTCAATAGAACTTTTGTCACATAAATCAAAAGTTACACAGTAATCCCTGAATGTCACGTATCTCTTTTTAATGAATAACACACTTCCTGTAGGTTTTCACATCAATCAAACATGCTCATTTGTTTTAATTGCTATAAGATGGCTTGGACAGAAACCTTTATTATTATGGTTACATCAATATTGAAGGACCTTGTCAATTTGGGATTCACCTCACAATGCGTTTCTCCTCAACCATACAATTAGGAGGGGGGTTGTATAAGGAAAGTTCTTTGTAGCTTAAACGCTGCTCAAATCAGACTTAGAGGCATTTTATTAAGTATGAATAGGATATAAATTATGCAGAATAAAACAGAACCTACATCAATGTCAGTCTCATTAGATTTTGAAACGTCTGATCAATGGCAAAGAAGTGTATGTAAAACAACTCAGAAAATTAAACAAGGATTAAAACTGGAGTCTGTTGTTAACAATCCCTGCAATGTCTGGGGTCCTGGCAGAAGTGGAGTTTGCACATCAGGAGAGTCTGCTATACATCAGTGAAGATTTTCTTACTGTTTATGTTAACCAGAATCCACTATTATTATTATTACTCTGTAACATGCATTTTATTAGCACTGCTTCAGCATTCTAGACCATTGCCTCTTCATTAAGATGGCTTGAGCAGTGCTATTCCATAATAATTTACAAATAATAAACTTATTTGGGATTAAGTTTTTTACTCCTGTTCTGTTTATTAGCCTGGGATGGACTCCAGGGAGTTACAAAACAATGTCCTGTTCACACAACAGTTCCTTCTGCCATGGGGAGGGGACATGTGTTTGTGGGGGGGTGGGTTATTAACAAATCTCATGCACAACTCCCCCCACATACAGAATCTGCCTGTATATGTGTACAGCCCTAAAATCTGTAAACTTCAGTAAAGGGAATGGGCAAATGATGCATCCATGAGACATCTGGATATCTGCACATAGAAGGCAGATTGCAAGCCATGTTGTACATCTGTGCCTGCAGAGATAAGGAGATAGAAGCTGCGCAGAAGAGTCACTGTTCTGTATTGTCTTCCACAAAGGGGAATGTGTGAACCAGTAAGTTTTCACTAAGGGTCACATTTCAAGTTGAGGAAGTGATGTGATGTGGCTTTTATGATATGTGGGTACCTTGGTTCTCAAATTTAATCCGTTCCAGAAGTCCGTTCCAAAACCAAAGCATTCCAAAACCAAGGTGCGCTTTCCCATAGAAAGTAATGCAAAATGGATTAATCCGTTCCAGACTTTTAAAAACAACCCCTAAAACAGCAATTTGACATGAATTTTACTATCTAACAAGACCATTGATCCATAAAATGAAAGCAATAATGTACTGCAGTCACACAATCAATCAATCAATCAATCAGTAGTTGAACTGGGTTCCACACAGTCTCACACAAAAAAGCCGCAAAAAACAAAACAAAAAAGCCGCAAAAACAAAAACGCTAAATAAATAACAAAAACAGACAGACCTCAGTGTGGCACTCAAATCGGAAGCATAACACACAAAACAGAGCACGTTCAGCTTCCAAAAAAAGTTCACAAACCAGAACATTTACCTCCGGGTATGCAGTGTTTGGGTTCCAAGTTGTTCGAGTACCAAGGCGTTTGAGAACCAAGGTACCACTGTACTTATATAAGCCCTTATACAAGTTATGTAGTTGAGCAGAGAAGTGATTGCCCTAAAAGTATTTTAAAGAAGAAGAAATAAAGCTTACAAGTGCTATTATTCCTTATAAGACACTAACCAATAAGTGAGGAATCAGACAAACTACATTACATGCAATCAGGCACACCAATTCTATGGGGATGGGGCCTCTACAGCCCCCACCCCCCAATTCCACAGGGATGGGGCTCAGTCCCAATCTTGAGGGCGCAGAGGAGACCTGGTGGGAAGTCACCCCATGCCGTATATCATCAGGAGGTCAGAATCACCCCAGGCAGCACAGCATTGGGAGGCGCCATGCAGAGCAGCATGGCCTTGAGTGCAAATGTTGCATTGGGAAGAGCTTCTTCAACCAAGCAATGGGTACAAAAAATGCATATGCTGAAGTAAAGTGTGCCTAAAAAGTCATATACTGGTGAAAATAAAATTTTGAAAATGCATCATATTAGAAGAAATTGTTTTGCAAAAAATGGGTATATTAGGCAAAACTGCATATCAACATGAGTAGATTAGGAGATAACGTGCACAAACATACTGATGAGTTTTCATGAAGACTTAAAAAAACAACAACCCACAAACTGATGTGGAAATGTAAAGTTAAGATTGGGAAAAAATGAAAAACTGAAAGAAGCAACTATGTTCCTTCTGTGTGGCAAAACAATCACGGCAGAGTTTTGAAGCGAGCCATTTACTACCTCAAAGGTGTGACTCAAAACTCTGAGCTCTTTTTATTACCATGTGAAAATTATAAATCACAGATTATGGTTGATTTCCCAGGACTGATGCGAGCGAGAGCTGGGAACGCAATCAAAGGCCTGCTCAGGATCCAAGCAAGAAGCAGTGTATGGCAAGCAACATGATGTGTATTTAAAACCAATTGTCTCTTTTGACTGGAAGCACTAGAACACATTACGGGCCCTTTTCTTTAAACAGATTTTATGCATGTCTTTCCTCTTCTGTTTTGCACATTGAGGATTGAATTTCTTTCTGCCTTCCAGCTCCCTGGAACAAGCACTTTACACGACCCAAGGAGCAGAATGTGAACAAGGCTGTGAAGGAAACGGGTTGAAAATCTGGCCAGAAAAAAGGGGGGGCAGGGACACAAAGTAACACCTTTCATGTTTGAGAGACTATCAAATGGAATAATCATGTCTTCCAGGTGCCAGGTCTCTTCCGCCAAGCATCATGGCTAACAGTGCAGCTGTATATTGTCTACTCAGGAGTAAGCCTTGCTATGTTCGATGGGGCAAATAGGCAATGGTGTCCCTATGGCGTAAACTCCATTACACACAGTGGGATTTACTTCGGGCAAACATGCATAAGATTGCACAGTAAAATACAGTGGTACCTCGGGTTAAGTACTTTAATTTGTTCCGGAGGTCCGTTCTTAACCTGAAACTGTTCTTAACCTGAAGCACCACTTTAGCTAATGGGGCCTCTCACTGCCACTGCGATATCGCCGCACAATTTCTGTTCTCTTCCTGAAGCAAAGTTCTTAACCCGAGGTAATATTTCTGGGTAAGCGGAGTATGTAACCTGAAGCGTATGTAACCTGAGGTACCACTGTACTGGAAATGAGAGAAGTTTCTTGTAGGGCAAACAATCACGATTGTATTTAAGGCTTAGCGGGGAAATAGACGTTTCCCCGCGATGCCCAGCTCAGAATTTGCATTTCTATATCGCTTGCCATCTCAAATGCATCCTAAATATTGATCATTGCCAGTATGAAAGTCATGATTCAACTCTTCACCACAGACAGGAAAAGACGGCTCATAAGGTTACAAGGTGCTTAGAAGTAAGGACTCTTTTAAAGGATTGTTGAGATATCACAAGGATCGTTGGGAACAGGTTTTTCAAGCTTATCACCCACGGATTAAATTAAGGGGGTACAAGCTGGAATTCTGATGGCAACAGCATTGTGTGTGAATGCTGCAAAGAAATAAATGAGGAGCGCAAACCTCACCCATCTCCCTTTGCTAACTCTCTCTGCATTTTCCATGTTAAGGAAATTGCCAACCTACATGAGAATGCACACCTAGTGAAAATGGACCTAAGCATCTCGGAGAAACTGTTTCCTCTTGAAACTTGGAAACTTTGTTTTTGACGTTACTGTATCTCAAACTGACTCCTTTTAAAAGACTCAGCTTCCCAACGTGGAACGCTGCTTGCTGCCTGTAACTTGTGTCTGGGTGGGCGGCCAAGAAAACCTTCGCCAGACGTTTATGTTCCACATGAATGTTACAAGGAAAGTGACAGGGAGAAGGGAAAGAAAGAAACACACACAAAGCATGTGCAACAAATTCAGCACTCAAGAGGCAAGCCAGACCCGCCTGAGAGCTGGGGAAATCAGCTGCGGTTTGAACAACGGGGCTTTTGTCTGAAGATCCCGAAGCGGGGTCTGAATGAGAAGGTGTTTTTTTTTTCGGGGGGGGGGGGGAGGGTCTCACTCCCCGTCTCTCAGAAAGTAACGGACTGGCAAAACTCGCCTTGCAGCAAAAGAAACTCATTTCCCCTAGGGATATTTCCTCTCTCTTCACGAACCCAAGCTAAAGAGAATCCACCTTCAGATTAAAGGGGTGGGGGTAGCGTCACCTTTTAATTTTAATGTAAGAAAATCAGGATTTTCACCGGCAATCCATTCATTTACTCGGTCATAACGTGGACCTAATCAAATGTTAAAGTGGGGGGGGGGTTAGGGAGAAGGGTGGATTTCATATAAAAGTACCAGGGCGCAAATCCACACCCCAGCCCCTCTCTTCTAGAAGTGAACCCGTCTCAGAAATCAGCTTGGTCTATGCAACAACTCTGCACATGGCAAGGAACCCTCTCGCCTTCTGCCCTGCTCACCGCACGCGCGCTAAGGTTAAGCTTCTCCAAAAAAATGGAGGAGGCCCGGCTCAAATGAAAACGTGGGGGCGTCGGGGAAGCAGGAGCGGGTGCGTCAAGTTACCGGTGGGAGTGGGCGATCTCTCGGCCTCGGGCTCGGCGGGGTGGGTCGGCTGCAGGAGATGGATAGCGAAAGCCAAGAGGAGGGCGAGGGGTCCAGCGCTGCTGCGGCTGGCCATCTTCGGGGCTCCAGCCAAGCCGGGAAACGAAGCAGAGCCAAGCAGAAGACCCGGAGAGGCTCTTTCCCTTCTTCCCTCCCTCGCCTGCTCTCCCACCCGCGACAAGAGTCCTGCGAGGCGCTCGGCCGGCCGGCTGGCCCGTTCCCTTGTTCCAAGCGCGTGGGGCCGCCGTGAACTCCAGAAGGGAATTGCTTCGCGGGGGTGGAGATCCTCCAGAAGAAGGGTCGTGATGAAAAAGTGCCGGGAGGAGAAAGAAAGAAAAAGATCCGCTCGATCCACTCGCCGAAGGAGCAGCGGGGAAGCGTTCCGGAAGATGCGATCAGGTGGAGGCAGCGCCGCGGATCCCGCCGCCGTCTGGCCCTCGCTTAAGGGCACCAGGCAAAGGGAGCCGTCGGTGCGCGCTGGAGCCTTTATAAGGCGAGCGGGAGGGGTGGCCGTCGGGGAGCCCCGGGCGCGGCCAGAGGAGAGCTTCTACCCAAAGTGCTGCCGGGTCCTCCCAGCTATTGGCCGGGGGGCTGGCAGGGGAGGGGGAGCAAGCCCGAGGGGTGGGTGGGGTGGGGAAAGGGGTGTCTCCCTCCTTGCGTGTCCCCCAGGCGCGCCTGGACCCTGCCGGTGCGAGGACATCCTCTGGCGCCCTCGCAGGAGCAAATGGGAAGCCTCCGCACATGCTCGGTAGAGACGTGAAGCCCTTGCCCAGACCCGGACTTGGACTTTTGGCAAGCGCCGTCGGTCCTCTGGCGCCGGGCTGCTTTCCGCATCCTAAGAGGTGCGCTTCTCGGGCTCTGCAGCTTTAAGGGGACACGAATGGCGGCGAGCTAACAAGTGACAGCTGCTGCCTAGGACGGCGTTGGGACGGAACTGGTTGTCGTGGGATGCTTTAACCGTCGGTTGATGCAGTTACGTTGGTGTTACTTTAGAGGAGCAAAGTAGCGCGTGGAGTAGGATAATAGAATTGCAGAATTGGAAGGGACCCTGAGGATAATCTAGTGCAATGCAGGAATTTGCGGTTGCCCCGTAGGAGAATCAAACCCGCAACCTTGGCATTATCAACACCATGCTCTAACCAAATGAGCTATCCGAGTAGGATGTGCCTGCGTTGCAGAATAAGTACTATTCACGTAAAATGTGTTGCAAATGATAAGCAGTTGTTACTAGTTATTGTTGACTCCCCCCCCCCCCCCATGGTAGTTCTAACAGTGCCAAAGATCTCCGACGTTAGTCATACTAAGAGTTGTTGTTGTTTAGTCGTTTAGTCATGTCCGACTCTTCGTAACCCCATGGACCAGAGCACGCCAGGCACTCCTGTCTTCCACTGCCTCCCGCAGTTTGGTCAAACTCATGCTGGTAGCTTTGAGAACACTGTCCAACCATCTCGTCCTCTGTCGTCCCCTTCTCCTTATGCCCTCCATCTTTCCCAACATCAGGGTCTTTTCCAGGGAATCTTCTCTTCTCATGAGGTATTGGAGTCTCAGCTTCAGGACCTGTCCTTCCAGTGAGCACTCAGGGCTGATTTCTTTAAGAATGGATACGTTTGATCTTCTTGCAGTCCATGGGACTCTCAAGAGTCTCCTCCAGCACCATAATTCAAAAATACTAAGAGTAGACCCATTGAAATCAGTGCATTGATTTCATTGGTTCTAATACAGTATGACCTGTGTGCACACCATACATTATACATTTAAAGCACACACTAGAATCCTGGGAACTGTAGTTTAAGGGTGCTGGGAATAGTAGCTCTGTGAATTCCAAGAATTCTTTTGGCGTAGGGGGTGTGCTTTAAATGTACAGTGTACACGGGGTTTTAGATACCACCCCCAAGTCTCTTCCTGTAAAGAGTTTCAATATTTGTTTAGGGATTTCCTGGCGTTAATTGTTACTGTTGCCAATGCATTTATTTATTTGTCGGGTTGATACCCCGCCCTTTCGCCAGAATTTAAAAACATTCCAAAACAGTTGAAACATTCTAAAAACATGTACAATTAAAACATTTAAAAGCAGTTACATTTTACCAAAGGCTTGCAAATCCAAACATTATTATATCTGTGCACAGTCCCTCAATTTCAGAAAATTCTTACAGCCTAGCACTCCACAGAACAGCCACTTCCAACATTAATCCCATTTTACAAGTGATGCTCAGGGCAGTTTCTGTTGGCTTGTATGCTTTTTTGCATTTTCCATATCTGAAAATGGAATGCAAAACCTGTTGGGTAGAACACACATTCTCACAGTGTGAATAGCGGTGTCTGAATTTGCAAGCCTTTGGCTAGCTTTCTCAATAAAGCTGAACTGAGACTGTGGGGCATACTTGAGTTCTTTTGTGCGGTAAGTTTGTCTTGTGCATTAATTTGCTTTTTTGAGGGATCACTTTTTACGATGTCCTTCAGTAAAATCCCCAGGGCAGAGCCCATGTGCAATTGTACCTGAATAAAACTGTACAAATGACTTCAAATTACTCACTCCTATTCTGTTCGGCAGTGAATCACATGTTTACTGTTTTCACATGGCATGAGAAATCTATGACCACTCAAAGCAAATGTGGGGCTCCTGATTTGGATAGGAGACATAGATTCCCCCTCTGTTTTTGACATCTGTCTGTCTTGAGCAGGCTTCCTCAGACTCGGCCCTCCAGATGTTTTGAGACTACAATTCCCATCATCCCTGACCACTGGTCCTGCTAGCTAGGGATCATGGGAGTTGTAGGCCAAAAACCTCTGGAGGGTCGAGTTTGAGGAAGCCTGGGCTTTAGAGACAATGGAGTGTGCTTGGGGGGGGGGATCCAAACGGCAGTGTTTGCAGCACCGAAGTGACCTCCCCATGGTGGAAACTGGGGCAGTGTGTATGGGGATCCTGGGCTGCCCAGACGACAGGACCCCACTCTCAGCCTTGCTCTGCCAAAGGAAAGCAGAGCAATACGTTTGGCACCAGCTTGGCTGCTGGAGTTGCTGGCATGAGGTGTACAAGGTGCCACCCAACTGTCATGGGGACTCCACTGCAGATTTGTGAAGAGTTTAATATTTAGCCTTTCTTCTAACAAATCTATCCTGCAAGGCAGTGGTGATTTAGGATCAGAGTTTTCCTTCTTCTAGATGGGCTACCTTCCCAAGTTAACAAGCCCCATCTACCCCTCACTTCCCTTGTGCAGAAACCACCTTCTTGATTAATTGTTGGACCCCCTATTGTCCCACTCAGTGCGCCAGAGCCTGTGTGTGTGTGTGTGTGTGTGTGTGAGAGAGAGAGAGAGAGAGAGAGAGAGAGAGAGAGAGACACTGGGGTACCATATGGCCCTCTGGTAATAGCAACATTGAGCTAGAACTTAAATTGAGCAAATGATCCAAGGGGGAAGGGTTAAACAGTCTCTCCTTGTGCCATGGCCCTAATAAAAATGACTTTTTGTGGAAGTGAAAGATATTGAGAGATTGAACTGTGGAAAAAAGTGTGTCTTATGGAGTGAAAAATACGGTGCCGTACATATAACAAGATAGGCTGCCACAGTGCTCATTTGTAAAACTGCTCATCTATAGAGCGGCACATTCCAGAATTTATTTATTTTTTGATTAGTGTTACTTGTGAAAATGATATTAATCACCTGTGTCTGCTTGCCACATCCCCATGATATACATTACTTTATGTTAAATATTTCATAGTGCAAAAATATTTACATAATATATAGTCTGAAATTTGCTTCGTGGCATCTTGGAAAATTTCATAAAAATCCAACACAAATTAAGGCTGGTGGTTGCTGTTGGCTTTTTGTATTGTTTTTACAATGTAGGCTTTACATCTGAATGGAACTGCTTCTGTTTAGCTTCCATCTGCTTTTCATTGTGACATATAATTGTATTAATTTTGTGCTTCTGAATGATGTGATGATGACATTTATTTAACTGATTTCAGAATGCAGCCCAGAGTTTTATTTTGTTGTTGTTTTCTCTCAAAACAAGCACTGGTGTCCTAATAGGTTATGGCATGGTGCACAATGTCCAGAACCTTATTGTCTATTTTAAAAGAATAAACACATTGCATGCTTTTCTTTCTCCTTCTCCTCTTGCTTTCCCACATCAGGACGACGATTGCTCCTCCAGAATATAAACCATTGCAGAATTTGGCTGGTGGGCATGAAAAGAAGCTGTGCTTTGCTTTCTGGCAGCATCTTTCGATATAAATGCTTATTTTGCATAATTGTATCAGATTAAATACAAAACCATAACATGTGCACATGGCAGAGGTTTTTGGCTCTGTGCATCATACTGCCCCAAGCACCATGGGGCCAAGATTGCTATGGCTCCCTGCCACATGATTACACAATGGCAGATGTGTTGTCCAACATGGAATAGTTAATATAGCTGTCAGAATACGAAAAACCTGCAAAAAAAACCCCTATCAGCCTTGGAAACTAAATAGAACCTCCTTGCTCAGAGATGGTAGGCCAGTGAATACCAATTTCAGGCAAAGTGAACAGAAGCGAGGAGCCCCTATCTTCATGCCCTGCTTATAGGTTTCCTGGAGGTCTCTAGCAGGCTGCTGTTTTTCCTTGTTACAGTTGGCAGAGCATGAGACTTCATCTCAGGGCCATGGGTTTGAGCCCCACATTGGGCAAAAGATTCCTGCATTGCAGGGGGTTGGACTAGATGATCCTTGTGTGTGTGTTTTTTTAAAAAAATGATATTTATTGAAAATTTTAAAATTACAGAAAAAGACAAAGCAGAGAAAGAAAAAAGAAAAAACAGAAAAGAGAAAAAGAAAACAAACCACATCCAACAATACAAATTCAAAAAACAAAAATACACCACAAACATATAAAAATAAAACCAACATTCTCAAATCTTCAACTTTCATTACCTTCTTTCTTTGACCTCCTCCTCCTCCCTTTTTTGTATCCCAGTTATTAATTATCGCAGCAAATCCTTTCCATATTTCATAATATTCTGTCATTACCTTACCTTGATCTATTTTCATCTTATCTTATAAAAAACCTTAATACTGAAATCTTATTTTTACCCACTTCTCATGACCATAATATTCTTGCCTAATTCTTTAAACATTTTTGCTAGAGCCAAGTAATTTCGTTCCAACATTTTTCTAACAGTCATCAATTTTATAAAACAATCCTAGTAATAAAAAAAAGAAATAGAAACAATCCAATCTTCATCCAGCGTCCCTTCCTCCTGGTCCCGGGTTTTGTCAGTCCTTTTTATCCCATCGATCTAGCGCATTAACCTGGTAACCTTATATCCAAGGCCCTTAAGTCCCTTCCATGTCCCTTCCGCAGCTCTTCTTCATATTCACCTTTCACTCCAGCTTGGTAATGTTTTTGACCCTTTTCAACAAATCAGCCCCTTTTCCATAGTCCAGACTAAACTCCATGTAGTATTTAAAGTCATATTTCAGAATCCCTCCACAATTGAGAGCCCCCACAGCTCCAAACATCTCATGGCCCATTGCCAGACTCGGAAAGTCCAAACATCCCTGCATAGGGGGGGGGTCTATCCAACCCCCCATTTCCAAATCAGTCCAAATTTTATCTTTCCTAATCTGGCTTTTTCCAAGTTCCTTTGTCAAATCCAAAAGCTCATGTTCCTGCAAGGCCGCAGCTCCCTCCATCTCTGGCGCCCAAGATTGCGCAACATCTGGACTAGATGATCCTTGTGGTCCCTTTCCAACTCTTTGGTTCTATGATCTACTATGTTATGTATCTTGGTGTTTTATATTGTAAACCTCCCTGTGCTGCTTGGATGAAGGGTAATATAGGCAAAAAAAACCAATCAATCAACCAATCAATCAATCATTTGGACTTCAGATGTGTGTGTAGAGTATTGCAACCTTAGCTTTGTCCAGATGACAGCTCTAGCAAAAAATAAAATTAAAAGCATGGTGATAGAATCAACCATTCCTGGTCAAAACAGACATAAGGCTATTATTATTATTTAACATCTTTATTGAAAATTCAAAAAGTTCCTAATTATATGTGCACTAAACATGGTTAGATGTAAATAAAAGAGAAAAAGAGAAGGGAAAATATAGGGACGACCCAAAACTGTATATTTTACAAAGTTGTTATTGTACTTCACCAGATCTTAACCTA